TGAGAGATACAATATGTTAGTCAGGTTTTTGTCACTGTGACCAAATACTTCTGAAAAAATAATTTGAAGGATGGAGCACTTATTTTGACTCATTGTTTCAGTCTGTGGTCACAAGGTTCCACTGTTCCTGGATGATAGTAAGGCAGACCATCATGGCGGGCACAGGTGACAGAGCAGAGATGCTTACATCATGGTGGCCAGGAAGGGAGGGTAAGCTATCTCCTTCAAAGACCCCCCTTAGTGACCTATTTCATGGTAACAGTCTCCACCTCCTAATAGCCCCTTCCATTTTGAACTCATCAATGAGTTGACCTGCTTGGTGAAGTTAGCACTGTAATAAACCACTCTGGTCTCAGTAGTGCTACTAGTTGGCGATTAAGCTAAAACACATAAGCCAGGTCCAAACCATAACATGCATTAACCCTAGACCCCTCCTCTTGAAGGTTCTGCCAGCTCCTAAATATTATTTTACAAGGGACCAAGCTCCCATGTATGATATCTTGGGGTATAAACTCAAACCACATACAAATCATAGAGCTGGTGATCTTTCCATCCCGTGACAGAAGCCATGAATATGCAAATAGGAAGGCTACTGTTGAGCTCACCTTACCTCATTAATCTGAAGAACCTTCCCTAGCATCCCTGATAAGAGCCCTAATTTGATGAAACCACCTCAGTGTGGCAGTTATTCTCTTGGGTCCTTTATTTGTCCATGTATAGAATATTTAATAAATGTCTGCTATGTGTCGGGCACTATTCTGGAAGCTGGTAAGCCAGACAATAGCATGACTGTCTTGGATCTTGGTCTCTAGTGGGATAAACAAGCAGTAGGAAATATAACAGCAAATAAGCAGGGGTTGAAGATGCCAGAGAAAAGGAGTTGCTGGTAGAGCATGCCTAGCCATGGGGAGTGCCTTGGACTAAAGGGTCGGGGAAGATCCTGTTGGAGAGCCATCAGCTATGCAGAGCCCTCAACAAGAAGGACAGATGCTCCAGAACTCTGGAGGTGGGAGGAACTGATGCAGAGTAAAGACGACAGCAAGCTTTGAGAGCAGACTTGAGTCTGGCATAGTAGATGGTTGGAGAATCATCGCCTAGGAAAGGCTGAAAGAGAGGTGGGGAGGAGTGTGCAGGGAGGCAGGAGCCAGATGGTAGAGGACTCACCTACCTACCATTGTCGGGGTTTGAATTGACCTTAAGTGGTAGGATGCCATCAGATGGGCTTGAATGAGGAAGTGACGTAATGTGATTAAAATCCTAAAAGTGATGCTATATAGAGGTTGGATTGTGGGAGAAAATTTTAAATATTGGCCTGACTGTTCTGTCTTCTATTGATCAAATCTAGTTCTCATAATGACTTCAACACCAAACCCCAAACCAATCCATACCAAGAGAAACCACAAAATCTTATTTCTGTGACATGTCCATGGAGTTCTTTCTAAACAACTCTTGGTGTTTCTGTGGGTCCATGGATATCTAGACTCATCATCTTAACGGCCTGATCTAGTTTGCCCTGTCCTTAGTACAATGTGGCACCCAGTACTAAACGAACGGCTGTTGTTTTTAAGACAGGCTGGCTTTGTTCTCCTTATATAGTCAGAGTTGGTCTAAAACTTAGGCCTCCTGCCTAAGTCTCCTGCTAAGAATATAGGAGGGAGCCTCCATGTACAGATTTTAAACACATTTTTGATCAGCTCAGGATTCCAAAGGACTGTTAATTCCAAGGATGCTCATTAATGAAGAATATTATACTAAGTTTTTATGAACAGATACTCCCAATGTGGGACTTCTGTGTTCACGGATGCTCCACATACCCCATACACTTCTGTTAATGTCTTCAGTAAACCTTCCTCCTTGTGGATTTTAGTGACGGAAAGTTAAATCAAGGGATTTTCGAGCAGAAGCTACAAATGAGTCCCACACTGGTCCCTTATCCATTCCCTTCCTGTCTGCTTCAAATGCCTTCACAGATCCCTTTATCTCTTCTTCCCACCTCACACCCCACTTAAAATTCCTTCTTTAGCCTCTTATAAATCATCCAAACCCAGAGAAGACAACTGCTGCTTTCTTCTTAGATCAGGAGCTGGTAAGGGAGGCAACCCCAGCTAGGAGGGTGAGACCGCATGCGAGATAGCTGGAGAGCGGAGCAGGGGAGGTTCTTTTTGCTTTTCCTTTTTGGACAATGGCTTTGGGAACTGACCTGTGTCACTGACTTGTAAACTTCCCATGAGTAGGGACAGAACCTGGTAAAGACCTTGAACATAGCTAATGCAAAGGGCAAAGTCATCTGAAAAGAGAATTATTATTCATTTCCCATTGCAGTTAATTTTGGCACCTTCATCAGGGTTTAAATTCTAGTACCATATCATATCAAAGGGAAAAAAGTATTTGATGTACGTGTTAATTACTGCTAAGATGTAGCTACTTAAATCAAGAGTTTAATCTTCATTTGACTATTCAGAGCAGCTCTGGGTGGGGGGTGCAGAGAGCCCCCTTTTGATTTGGGTTATTTAAATAGGTGATGAGAACTTCAAGCAAAATGGCTTCCTATGTTCTAAACCAGCATTTGGATGTCTTGCAATTAGTACCCGGCAGAAGGGAAAACAGCTAAGAAAATCAAGTTCCTCTCGGAATTCCCAAGTCTTTGCCTTTTTTCTGAAGTTGGAAGAAAGTTCTCAGAAACAGTTTCATGTGCTCAAAGGCTTGAGACTCTGTGATAGACTAATAGTAAATGATATCTTAAAAGCATACCAGAGGCTTAAAAATTAGGTCTATGAAGAAAATAATACACAATTATTTAAAAGCACAAATTGTCAAAATGATGCTACTCTGAGATACAGTCTTCATGGGAAACATCTTGGATGAACCCCTAATGCGCCCGTTTTTATACTATGAAACTCTAAAACTCATCGAAATGCCATGTTATTTGCTTAGTGATTAAATCACAGTCGTTTGTTATAGCTTTACAAGAGCGCTGTTTTCTTGCATTTCCAAGATTTTATTGCCTCAGATATAACACTTTGCTCCTAATAATCCCTATTGATTTTATTATATTACCCTATAGTTTTAGATATGCTTCACTGCCATGCACTAGCCTCTTTGTGCTTTACAAAATGAGATATGTTATCATGGTTCTCCAACCTCCTGTAGATAATGATCTTACTCAGGGTAGGTGAAAAATGCTCCTTCCTGGAGTCTGATTTTGGCCCTGTCTGAACACTGCTTTATCCCAGGATGTTTGAGGTGCTGTCAGTAGGTTGAGGGGGACCATGGTGAGTTGCATTTTGAGGAGGCTCCAGAGATTCCATCTGTCTTTCCGTTTTGCTTCCCTCTTTGAGAGGTATGTGGCTCACACAAAGTACTTTGTTTACGGCAATTATTCATATGCTGAACTGGGGCTTGTGGAGAACTCAGTGTTTTCAGAGAAAGTTATGGAGCCTCTGGGTAATGTTTTAATATGTCTTTTCAAGGTGCTTTCTAAATGTTGTTAAAAATGGTGATATATTTTATCAGAGGCTGACTTGACACCCCCATTCTTTAGAGAAAGGTTTTTGGGTCTGTAGGGAGGAGAGTCGACTCTGTGCAGGCGTTGGGAAACGAGTGGGGTCTGGCTTGAGAGGAGAGGAAAGACGGCTCCTGAGAGCCCTCCTGGCTGTTACTGAGGGACACAGAGAACCATGTGTCTTGTTCTAACCAGACTGCAGTTAACTCTTCATTATACTTTAGAGGAGACTAGATTCTTGACAACCGAGGGCTTGAATTCTACAAGAGTGAAATCCAGCAGCTTCCCCGAGTGCTAACTCCACGTCTCACTGTGCTAACTGTCAATGCCGAACGCTTCATCAGCAGTAACTCCTTGGACTGTCACAGTCGATCTCAAAAAGGAGATACTATTTATTTTGATATCAAATCTCGCCATATAGTCTAGGGTTGGCCTTGAACTCTCCGTTCTATGACCTCTGCTTCCCAACTGCAAATATTACATTCCCTGTTGAGGCAGGTACTATTATTAGCTCCATTTTATTTATTTTAGAGTATTTGGTTTTATTATTTAAAATTATATGTATGTATGTGTGTTTCTGTGTGGGTATGTGCACATGGAGCGCAGGTGCCTGCAGAGGCCAGGGGCGGCAGGTCCCCTTGGAGAAGGTGTTACAGAAAGTTATGAGCTGCCTGATGTGGATGCTAGGGGTCTTCTGGAAGAGCAGTGCCTGTTCTTAACCACTGAACAATCTCACCAGCCCCTTAGCTCCATGCCTATCCACTCGGCATGGACACATCAATGATCATGCCTGAGGTCACAATGCTAGTTAGAGATGGTTCAACAATACACCTTCAGCTTCCAGGCTCTAAGTTAATTACTGGTATATTACACTTAGAATTTACAAAGAATTACCCACTAAAAATCACCTGTTTCCCCAACAACCTTGTAGTCCATATTTAGGATAAGAAAACAGAAATAGGCAGTCATTTGTCTAAGGAGACACAGCCCAAACTCTCCCTTTCTTAAATATACCCACACAGTGGAAGATCTATGAACATGTCATGGGAAGGGAAGTCAAATATTGAGGCCGACTGCTTTAAGTAGCAAACTGGTTCCTCCTTGCAGTGTCTGAGACAGGCCCCTGGGGGTCAGTGTTTAAATCAGCATGCAGCCCTTGTCTAGATTATATAAAGGCATGTAGGAATCCTCTTTATCTCTCACCTCTCTGGCATTGCTCTGACTTACTCCCCTGTGCTTGTCCCACTTCACTCTAATTCCAGGTTCTTGGGAGGAAGGGATGATGTACTCTGTCTCGGGTTGAGAAGTACCAGAGACTTTGCGATGGCTGAACGATCCCAAAAGTGCCTGTGTGGATCTCGATGGGGAGGGAAGCCAGTAAGAATGAGGAAATAACACAGGAAGGGCCACAGCTGAGGGGCCTGTAAGGAAGGAGAGGGGGCGCCTAAGCTCAGGGACAGTGTACAAGGATGCCCATTCAGCTCTTTCCTCAAATTAGACAACCCGGTGAGGAGAAAGTCACCGTGGCACATCAAGTTGGAAAACGAGCGCGCACACTGCAAATCTCAAGGAAAGGAACGGATGAAACAGAAAAGCCCTCTTTCCCTGTGCTGACACCTCTGTCAAGCACAGCGTGCCTGTCCTGCCCAGCCCCGCAGGTGCTGCTGGCAGATGCCTTCGCACACTGAGGACGTCCTGGTGAGTGGCTCTCTGGATTCAATTAATGCACAGGCTGGCCAGAGTGGAAGACAGACAGGAGACAGAGGGTCTGAGGAGAGCACCTTCTCCCCGCCATGCTGCTTCCCACCTGGTGACGGACGATGTGGACTTAGCGCTGTGAGATCCCTGGTAAGACAAGTCAGGGTACAAACAAGGACAGTGCCATTTGGATTCAGACCCATGGGAGTAAAGAAGTAGGGCACGGATGTGTTGAACAGGAGGGCCAGAGAGTGAGGTGAAGTTTGTGTGCCCAGGATCATCTGTTCTCTCCCTAAACAGATTATTCTTTTCTCTGATTCCTCCTGGGAGGAAAACAAAACCCAAGGTCTTTCTTAGAACATGAAGCATGAGTCACTCCTGCCAGAAAGATGAAGAAAGTGCCATCAGGTGTTTAAAATGCAATTATGATTGGAAAGGTCAAGAATTAGATTTTATTTTTAGCGGGTAAACAAATGCATGTTTCTACAGTGTGAAAACCCTTTCCCCTTCCCATTCAGGTGGCTTCAGAGTGGCCAGGAACACCCTCCTGGGTTGGTCACCTGACAGATTAAGCTCACCAAGCCCAGGCTACACGTCGTGTAATTCAGCATTAAGTATCTTATTGATTCACTGAAGTGCTGCCATGGATGTTAATGGAGACAAATATTGTGACTGTGATTTTTCAAAGGGCTGAGTAATTCCCAGACATCAATAACATCTGTCATGATGTAATGCAGGGCGACCTTAAGATGCTTGACTTGGGGCCAGTCATGGAGGATGGGGCTGCTGGAAGGAAAAGATGCTGAGATATTGCTAAGTGTGGGGACTTCAGACTCTGCCCTGTTGTAGGAATGGGGCACATTCCCTCCCTCGTTGTCCACAGCTGCAATTGCAACCTAACAGGACCACTGCGATCCTAACCAACCCTGTTCCCACTTGACTGGAGCATGAATGATCCCATAGACTGCTTGTGGGGGGAGCAGGGGACTTGCTTATGGTCGATCATTCAGGTAGCCATGTGCTAGGCTAGAAGTAGGGTCTCAGAATTTCATCCCCAAGCCTGTTCTTGATACTTGTCAGTAAGATTTCTGAAATCCATTTGAATATATGGTTGGGAACAAGTGATATTTTCTTCCAAAAAGCTTCACTAAGACACTCAGGGTCAGTAATTGGAAGGAATCAATTACTCTCACACAAATTCCCCATTTCAGTCAAATTCTGCAGGCTGCCCAATCCTTCCTACCCTTGGATTCATTCTCTATACTGCTGCTCACATTATCTTGCTGCAAGATGAATCTGATCTTGTCACTCCCTAGAATGAAGACCTCCATCAGCCTCTCCATCTCTCCTCAGAATAAACACGTTCCTGGTACATCCTCACCTCCAGTCTGCAGAGTCATGTCTTGTCCCCTTTTTTCCCAGCACCTGGAGCATTACTGCTGTTCCAGGCCTGTGTAAGCTCCTAACATTGCAAATAAGCAATTCCCTATGTTTGGACTATCCTCTCCCTACCTGCTCAGGAAACTCCTACCCATCCATCAAGAGCCAGATCTACCCCACCAGCCCCCAAGAACCACCCCGCTTCTCCTGCAGATAACGAGCAGTTTCTCTGTACGGCTGCAGAACACTGTCCATCTGTTATTGATCACAATGGTTGCCTATGACACTGCATTTTTTTTTTTTTTTAATTTGAACTTCTTTGGTCAAAAATTGTTCCTTCACTTTGGCTTCAGAGGAATTGATCTTTAACTGACTGACAATCTTTCACCCTGCTGGTTAGGCTTCATAATGCTGGGAGGTGCTATGCAGGCTGCTGGGAGAGAAGACATTAATAGTTTTACCCACCACTGGACACTCCATGTTACAGTACTGACCCACCAGCCAAGATGTGCCCACTGATGCAACAGAGGCATGACTGTCCTGAGGTTGGTTACTGGCTGCTTCCTGATTGGATTTGAAGTTTGCCCAACAGGAGGGAATTTCATGCTTATACTGTGGGGAAGTCGTAAGTCCTCAAGCAGAACCTGCCATTGTTATTATTTGTTTTAATGGGCGAGTTGTGAAATTGCCTTCTAAGTATTTCTGTTTATATCGCAGACCTGGGCTACTTGCAACCTTGATCAGAGAAGCTGCTTTTGACAGTGGGCAGCAGTCAATGGAGAGATGCACGACTGTGAAAGTACTGAGAATGGGAAGTCAATGGAGAGATGCACGACTGTGAAAGTACTGAGAATGGGAAGTCAATGGAGAGATGCACGACTGTGAAAGTACTGAGAATAAGAGACAGAGTGCTCCGTCATGAGTGAAACACAACCCCCGGAAAGGGAACACTGAGGGAGAGGAAGCAGAATTTAAGAGCCTGAGGATGGATGGGGAGGAGGGCTATCATCTGGATATGAATGACATGGCCATTGCACTTAGAATCGCATGCACTGGTTGTGATGATCTGCACAAGATCTATGCAAGATCAAGCCAACTCATCCCTGAGTAGATGAGGGAGGTGATCTCTAGGAACCACCCCTGACTGAGTGGCTATTGGCTGCTGGGGTAGGGAAGATCATTCTTCTTTAGGGTGTGGCCACTGGTAGGTTTTACATACCCCAGTAAATGGCCACACACGACACACACACACACACACACACACACACACACACACACACACACACACACACACGCACACTCACACGCATGCACACAGACACAGGTAACACTAACTGAACTTAGTAGATCATCCAAAAAGAAGCTATGAAGTTAGAATGAGAGTGTGTTAAAGGAGATGCAGGCACAGTTGGAGGTTAGAAATGGGGCTACATATGATCCTATTTCATTGTATACATGTCTGAAATTCTCAAAGAATGAAATGGGGCTACATATGATCCTATTTCATTGTATACATGTCTAAAATTCTCAAAGAATGTCTGCGCTCTTGGCACATGCCGGTAGGTGCACTGTAGATAATTTCACATTGACCAGATAAATGGATCTGGAATCAGAAACCTGTTGGGGTGTGAGTTTTTATCAGGGTTTAGGGCAAGCACATTGGCCCTGGGAGATACAGGTTTTTATAGACCTGGGTCTTGAGACCCTCGTGGGATTGAAACTGGGGTCAGAAAAACAGTGCCTCACTTTGGCAGTGTGTTGGATATCTTCCAGGGTGTCTACAGGGCTAGGTGGGCCCTTGCCACCATGCTACTTGAAATTAGTGTCCTCAAGCCACCTTGGGGAACACCATCTGACATTCCAATGGAGGAAGTTGCGCATCCTGTGTTGACAGACACTCAACTTATGAGAAATAGTAACAGCCCAGTGTTCAGTAATGGGCAGGGTGTGTACATGTGCACGTGCCAGCTACAAAGGACACAGGCTGCAAGGATACAGTGGAGTAACATAGACTCATTTGTGCAAAACATTGCTTTTAACTGCCTGGTGTCTTTGGGGAAGCATCAGGAGATAGAAGGAGAAACAGTCTTGGGTGAGGAGACTGGGAGTAGAGGTCACTGAGCAGCCAGTATGAAATCATTTCAGGGTGTTAACAGCTGCCCTGGTGATGCTTCCCCAGGATACAACAGCTATTGATAGGTCCCCTTAAAGGGCAGGCACAAATTTGAACTGTGTGTGTGTGTGTGTGTGTGTGTGTGTGTGTGTGTGTGTGTGTGTGTGATACTTTTGTAGGCAAGAAGCTTTTGAGAAGAACCTTACCTTTGTGTGTGAATACTTTAGTATATTGAGGGGTGAAGAGGAGGGATTTCAGGCTGGGGAATGAGCAAGCAGAGCACTGAGGGGTGTGTGAATGCAACTGTTGAGGGAGGCCAGCCTAGGATACCCAGGACTGCTGGGAGAAGAGGAAGGAGAAACAGCCAAAGCCAGGCTGTGAGCAGCTTCGAAAGCCAAAAAAGCAAGCCTTGTTATCTCCTCCGTGATGCCTCGGGCAGCCTGCTAGCCCAACCTTATTGCTGGGGCAGGCTTCAGGGTGGCCCCTGCTGGGACAACCAATGGTGCCATCTTCACCAAGTCTGAGGCTGTCACCTGGAGATGAGAGCAGGCTTCCCCTTAATTAAGAATGTCATGGCAGCTCCCTGGCTCATGGTGACTGATGCTGCCCATCCGGCTGCCACGTGGCCGATGTGCCTACATGGTACATCATCTCCTAATTAACACATCTTGTCAGGTCCAGCGGCCAGCTTCAGTAAACATGCTCTGAGCAGCTGTCACTGGGACCCTGTGTGGGACCTGATGCCTCATTAGTGCGGAGAACGGCGGTGGCACCAGCAACGGGGGGCAAAGCAGAAGTGCTCTTTATGGGGGTGTTGGTAGGGTAAGAAGGATGCTAGATGCTGAGAAAGAACTGAGGGTCCAGTAGAGGGTTTGGCTTCAAGCACCATAAGCCTTTCTCCTTGAAGACAGGGTGGGTGGCAGCGTGGTTAGGAAAATACCCTGGATCCAGAGGCCGATTCTCATTCTGTCTCTTTCACCACCCAGGAGGCTCAGACTGTTCCAGTGAAACATGGGAGTTGCCTCTACTCACCCTGCCTGGGAGCTCTGCGGAGGGGGTCGTATGGGACAAGAGTTCATGCTATTCTGAGGAGCAACCCCCCCCCCCCCCCCCCCCCCCCCCCCCCGCCAAATGGCATCCCATGGGGATCCAAGGAAAACTCTTGAGCTTGGCTCCACCATGCTGCTTGGGACACAGCTCATTCACACTTCCACACTTTCCCACTGATTTCCTACTTGAGGTGTCTGTCCTCTACCCTCTCTCAGTGGTCCAACTCCTTCCCCTGGGAGGCCCAGCCCGCCTCACTTAAAAAGGGATGTGACAATCCTAAAACATCACCCAAACATCCCTGCTCTCCTCACCCGGACTGGCCTGGCAGTGACTGAGGAAATATATGCCTTAGCTCTTTATCCCCTGGATCTTGAGCTCTGCATGTCTACACTCTGCATCCATGACAATAGGCAGCTGATCAATGTCTGTATATTCCCTTCTCACAGCTTGCACAAGGGTGGTGAACTCAGTTTCTCTCTACAGTTTGCTCCTCCTCAGCAGCTCCTCTATAGGTCTTCCTCTAGGTCTGACCCTGGTCTTTCTTCATGCAGGACTTTTAGCAAAGACACAACATTGTCGTTCTCTCTACCTGCATGCAGGGTGGCTTTTATCTTTCCCCATCTTCCCTACGCCTGTTGGATTTGCTGTGTTTGTCTAGCACAGTCTGCTGCCTGGAGCTGGTCCCTGCTCTCTGCGGCCTCTCCATCACACTGTCCCTGTGCAGGGTCTGTCCTGGGTGAAGTCTGAGCAACTACGGATGCTGTGGAAGCATCTGGCAGCAGCAGGGAGGCCGACTTTTCCAGCCCCTCGGCAGCACCAAACCCACACAATTTGTAAATCTTCGATAATGAGCATTTAAAGGGCACATCCTAATGAAGGGATTCGGGACTGACTGGCCAGGAAATGCAGGCTGAAGATTTTAATTACAATGCTTCTGTGTTTTCAGTTTTCCTGTTCCCTCTCTTTTGCCTACTCCCTCCACCTCCTCTGTGATACACGTCTTACTTCTAGACCAGCAAAAAGCTGGTGTCGTAAGTTTTACCCCCACTAACTTGCTCTTGAGGGGACTGGGAGATTTCCTTCAGCCTGAGAGCTTGGAAGGTTTGCTTTGACAGGCCATGTACCCATGTGGGGAGAGGCAGGCCAGGACTCTGCGGGGGGCCATGCCAAGCAGATGTCCCTCCCTCAGGAAGCGCAGTGGGGGGGTCTGAGAGTGCTCAGTATGAGTGGCAAGCTGCCAGCCTTGGGAGCTTCCTGGGGTGAAGCTCTGGGGTGAGGGCTGGGGACCAGCTGAGGGCCTCCTGGGCCAAATGGGTGTTTCTTGGGCCTCTCATGGTGCCTTTCTCTTCAAGCGGCTAAATGGAGAGTGGGCGTCGAGGCAGCTGCAGGTGCATTGCTTGTGAGGGTGACTGTTCCTTGAAAGTCTCCCACTTGCTCCTCCAGGTCCGTGTCCCCCTCGTCTACACCTCAGGAGGCTGAACTGTGAGGACATTTATACCGTAGGCTTCTGGTGGGATCAGGACAGAGGCTATGGAAGGATGTGGAAGGAAGAGGAGAGTGAGGGGGAACTACGTGGTTTATTGTCTGAGCTCTCACTCGGATGTACCACTCTTACTGCAGCCCATGTTCCCTGTCAAGGTGGCTTCCCTGGGGGATGCTGGACTTCTTCTTTTGACCACTTTCTCTTGTCACCCTGTGGACCTGGAGTGTGAGTGGCTGTATCTATACCTCATGTTATTCCTCACGCACAGCCTCCTAAACACACCTTTATTATAACTCTCCATGTCATTCAGTTTAAGAGTGACCTTTGTCTTCTACCATGACCCCAATAGAACTACTTCAGGCCAGTCTGCCACCACATGTGGCCAGAGGCATTCTGTCAGCGTCAAGGATTCCCTGGATTCCAGCTGGGATGTGGGACAGAGTGCAGTCTTGTGATAAAGGTTTCCTTTTCAGATTTATGACTGAGTTTGGAAAAGTATGAGTGACTTGGTTTCACAGAAGCCGGTAAGAGTCTTTGGGATTACTCAGAGTTCCGTGCAGGAGGAACAGAGCCCCACTGTGCAGCGTGGGTAAGCTGGGAGCGAGGGCTTCTTTCGTTCAAAATGCCTTCACCTGGGCTATGGCGCCATTTTTACTTTATAGATAAGGCCACTGCAGTTGAGTGGCTTGACAGGAGTTTAAGAGGCATAGTCTCTCCAGCTCCATCTTGGGGAGGATTTAAACAGTGTTTTAGAGCACGTGAGGAAATTGCCTCCCTCTTTTTTTATCCTACCATGTTTTTCCTGCCCCTTCTGTGGTAGAAAGTCTTGATTTTGAGACTGAGAGAAGACTGCATTGGGTGAGGTCAGCTATCAGTCAGGCCCCGGGGGCCTTTCTTTCCCCAGGAACCTTGACCTGCAGCAGGCCCTGAGCCTATCAACCAGTTTTGAGAACTGAACGCTGACTGTTTGTACCTCATTCCTGAACTTTCAGAAGGTGCACAGTGGCCAAAAAGCTCACCTTACTTCCAATTGGCCATCTTGCCTGAGGTTTGGTTCAGGTCCCCAAATCCATGCAGGACCAGACTCATTAGGGTTACCATCCCTAGCAGGACCCGAGGGAAGCTCCCTCTCTACCTGACCCTGGGACCAGCTGCACCATGTGCTTGAACCCTCTCCCTCCTGACAGCTCCTCCATCTTCTGCTTTCCATTTCACCTCTGGTGGAAGCCCTGGTCAACTGGGAGAGCCAAACAGTGTCTCCCAAACATGCCCTCCCTCAAGGGTCAGCATCTGCCTCTGCCTGGGTATTCTCTACATCAACACATTAAACAACCTTTATCTCATACACAGAGACTCAGTATTTCCCTTCCGCTCTTCCTTTAGTTGTCTGTGCAATCAGTCACGAATCACTCATTGGCTCAGCTGTTCATTCTATGACTTATGGGGAATTTCTGGGGGCCAGAATTAGCAAATTTCAACCTATTTCATCTTCAAAGACCTCAGCCAGATGTGCTGCATCATTATTGCTATTTTGCACTTGAGTAAATGGAACTGAGGAGGAAGAGTCTGCTTGCCGAGGGTCCTAAGTCACACTGCTGGTAGATGTTGGAGCTGACATTTTACGAATGAACATTTGCAATCACCAGCATCTTGTGATTGGCAACCTGAAACTGCATATGCCGAGTCTGAGGCCCCTGAGATGACTTTACCCCTTTCTCCTGCAGACCGCAAGCCATTGGCTTTGTCCAGAACATAGCGAGCTCTGTGCACATTAGACAGCCAGAGAAAGGAGGAGGGAAGCCACCAATGGAGAAATGTGGGTGGGGCAGGTGGACCAATTCACCCTGACATGATTTGCATCTATAACAGAGGGGACATGTCACACTGTCACAGCTTTCTCCTTTACTGACATAATAACAATCCCCTTCCTTTGTTATCACTTTGTAGTTTTCAAAGCACTTTCAAATCCATTAGCTCATTTTATCCCCACCACAATCTAGCAAGGAGGCAGGAACTGTTGTCTTTACTTTGCAGATGAACAGGCTCGAGAGCTGTGCAATTTATCCCAGGTCCTGGAGCTTGGATGAAAACCTGTATCTCCAATTCCTCACTTATGTGCTGAACCTCAGCATCATTTTCTAGGTAGGAATGGGACAACTCCTCCAGATCAGTAGCTCTGGAAGTCCCAGCCACGCAGACTGCTTGAAGCCATGTTTCTCAGACTTGGGAGATGGTTCAGTGGATAAAACCCTCAATATCACCCATGAAGATTGAAGTTCAGACCCCCCAGAACCCATGCAAAAGCCATCAGGTTGGCAAACACCTGTGATCCCCGCACTCAGGAGGCAGAGATGATATCTCCAGGGCAAGCTGGCTAGCCAGACTCAAAGGAATTGTCAGTCTTCCAGCTTAGGGAAAGACTTCATAAAAAGTGGAAAAGATGGAAGAAGACACCTAATGCTAATTTTGGGCCTACACACACACACACACACACACACACACAACAACAACAACAACAACAACAACAACACACACAACAACAACACGCACACCAGCGCAGTCCCTACCATATATGCCCATACACATGAAAACACACAAATACATGAAATAAATGAATAAATGGACAACTAACTAACTAACTAACTAACTAACTAACTAACTAAATAAATAAATAAATAAATAACTTAGTGGTTCTCATATTTGGCACCAGATTCTTGGACTTTACTGTCAGAAGTACTGACTCAAAACTGCTACATGTTGCCTGTGAGTCCTCTCCCTATCCCCATTTCTCTGTCTCTCTCTATCTCTCTCTGATTCTCCCTCTCTCTATCTCTGTTTCTCTCTCTGTTTATATCTCTCTCTCCATTTCAATCATGGGGTCAAACCCAGGGCCCTGCCTATGCTAGGCAGTTTTCTACCACGATGCTGTGCCCACAGTCTGGAACCTACATTTCTAATGGATTCTGGTGCTGCTGGTCCTGGGGCTGTGCATTTTGAAAAGCTCTGAACTAGGGCCTGGCTTCCTGTCTGCTCTTACTGGGGCTCATATTATCAGCTAGAGTAAGAAATAGAAAGAATTGCCTCCTGTGCGTCTTTCCCAGTGGTGAGGAATTAGTGTGTGCCTTGCCTCCCTCACTGATGCCCGTGTGGTCTACAGAATGGGAAGAAAACCCCGGGCTTTTTAGTTCACATACAAGAGGAAAATGTCCACACATGTGATTATTAATTCATTGTTCAATTAAGTTATGATCTCTAAAATTATCACAATATTTGGCTCGGAGGAAAGCAGCATTGAATAGCTTGTTCCACGTAATGTGTGAATAATGTAACTTTATTACTTTTCTAGCTCACGAGTAATTGTGACTGACACATTGGCAATAACACAGGTCACCTCCCCACCCTCCCCTCTTGTTCTCAGCTTTGAGCATTTCCTCTCTTGTCTCTTTCCTTGCTCACCCCTCCCAGTTAACATCCCCCTTTCTGTGGCAGTTTCTGTTCTATCCTGGCCCAAAAGTAGCTCCAAGGAATAGGCAACGGCGTGAGGAACTATGGGCCAAGCTGTTAGGAGCGCTTGTAAAGCCTTCCCGAACTCATGCTCACACTCCTGTTTCTGACATGTCTCTTGTGTGTGCACTTCCAGCTGACCTGAGAGGCAGATGCTGTTACAGTGTGTGACAAGGTCCATACATTCTGATGAAGGTGAGTGTTTCCGTTTTCTTATTTTCTACCCCCTTTTAGTCCTGAACTCAGCCCACATGCCCCACTGTCCCACTCTAAGAAGTCCTTCACTCTTCTGAGCCCTGGGCACCTAGGCTGCAGAGAGCTGTCATCAGCACCTGGGACAGCTCCTGGGTTTGTTTTCCCTGGAGGCCCCTCAGTGTGGGGAAAAGTGCTGACAAGGCTCCCCCCACCCCGTCCGTACTTATCTCCCTTTGCCCAGCTAGTTGGAATCTAATTTTTTAAATCACTCTTTGGCCGTTCAAATCCAGCTTAAGCATTATCTTGTCTTGCTTTGCATCATCCCTCAGTGTATATTTTTGCACCAGCCAATATGTTTAGTTAGGCAGAACCCGGGTGCTGACAACTTACCCACAGTGTAGCGACGCAGAAGACAGGGAAGACATAAAGGACTGAGATGTTGTTTCATATGATTTAGACATGTTTATTTCACATGGTTTAGTCATGTTCCTGCCGCAATGTTCCTATTCAGACATCATTTCCTGCCTCTTCCCAGCTCTTCAGAAACTGCACTCCATAGGATCAGAACTGCTCTCTGGGGGAATTTCCCCATCCTGTTCTGAGCTCTGGTTTGGTGACCTGGTTTAATTCCCTTCCAAGCTCCAGTGGGAAGTGAAAATGATGACTTCTCTCCAGGTATAGCACTGCAGGCAGACTGAGGGTATGTCTTCTCTACTGCTCTGTCCACACACACTAGAAGCTGTGGAAGAGTAGACCGAGATCCCACTTTAGAGGTAAGGGTACCAAGAGCTGCCAGTTGAATACCTTGTGATGGGCACTTCATGAAGAATATCCCATGCATCCTCCATAACAATCAAATGCAAAATATAGCATTGTCCTCCATCTTATATAGCTGACCAGTGTCAGAGCCAGACACTGTGACTTCCTAACCTGCACTGTTACCATAGCACAGATGACCATTCCCCGGGGACATGTCTACCCTCCCTGCTGATGCCTGGGAAACCTCTAGACACAATTAAGTTGAAGCAGCTGATGGGCTTGGGAGGTGGAGCCAACTTGGGGAGGGGCAGGACCAATCTCCTTGGTTATTCAGGGGAAAGACCACTCCAATTGGAGAGACTGGGAAGGATTGCAAAAGGAAGGAGACTTGACTTTAGTCCCCAGGGTTTAAGGTTTGCTTTTTCCTCAGGGAAAGGATAAACGGAATCTAGCTTCTCTGGCTAGCAGTTCATAGGGTATACCTGGCAAGCAGTGTACTCGGGTGGAACACTGTTCTCACTCTACAAACCCTTTTTACACTTGTCTTCCACCAGCCTGGACCATCTGCTCTATGTTTATAAATAACTGTCTCCTACTACCCAAAATCGCATCCTTGGCTCTAGGCTCTGGGTCTGGGCCTTCTTGGTGGCCTTGCTGGAATTCTTTCCACTCCACTATGCCTCACTGTGTCTCTGGTCTCCTAGAGTGAGAGCTCAACAGAGAGAGCAAGGGGAAAGGTTACCCCTAAAGGAGCACTTCATGGAACTGGGAGTCAGAGTCACTCTGCTCAGTGAGGGAAGCATTCAGATTATGGCTCTTTTCACCCTTAAACTTCCAAACCAGGACTCATTCTGATCTGAGCATGAGAGCAAAGAACACCTTTTGAAGATGAACCTTTGTTTCTCTGCCCAGTAGGTAGGACTTAACCTTGAACTTGTGCCCCAACAAGAAGCCTGCAGTGAGGCTGGGCTTGATAACTCACCTCTAGGCAAGCACAGAAAGGCATGTGCTGCCTTCTGCAGTGGAGGGCCTGTTCTAGAGACACTCACGGGGGATTCTGGTGCTTTTGTCAAAGGAAGGCTCACAGAGAAAATTGCTGCCACAAATATAAGTGAGTGATATACAGGGGGCTTAGACTTGGGGGTTATACTGTGGCTTTAGGGGAGCCGAGGAGAGTCATTGTTTAGAGGACTGAGCGGTTTGGGCACCTCCAGGCTCCCAGCAAAGAAGAATGGGACTATAAAGCTGAATCATTAAGAGTCAGTGGACTAGAGGAAGGGATTGGTTGCATAGGTAAGGCTGGAGAAAATGATTCCTCTAAGACACAAATGTCTTCAATTTAAAGTCTGTTCCCCAAATCCACTCCCCACCCCAGAGTGACAGATGTAGGGATACAACCCAACTCTGTCATTTGCTATTTTTAGGACTTTGGGGGAAATCACATAAAGCTGCATTTCTGCCTCCTTGTTTGTGAAATGGGAGTGGTACACATTCTTCTTAGAAGTGTGAGATAATGGACACTCAGGGTAGACCCAAGGCATGACATGCATCAGGCACACAGTGAGCGTGGACTATTATTACTGCCATTTTTATTTTTTAGCCAATTATCTTTCTTTGCTATGGAGGAAATATCCCTTTCAAAGATTTTGAAGGATGAAATGAGGAGACAGGCTGGTAGCACCCACTGTATAACAGATGCCCGGGGACTGAGTCTGTCTTTTACTCCCTTCTGAGGTGTATTCTCTCGAGGGCTCTTGATGTTAACTCTGGTGGGAAATGGATAGGATGCCGTCAGCTGTATGAGAGCGTTGTCTTCAAGTGAGGCTGACATTATAGAACTCGTGTTGCCTCCTGAATCTGGCAGCTTTCTGACTCATGCTTTCTTCCTGTCTTACTGCCTTCCTATACTACCACTCACTCTGCTTTCTGTACCCACTACCAGGCTAGACTCTTTCATTATCCACTGAGCCCTTGTTTTTCTGCTGCTCTGGTCTGCTCATGGTCTGAGGGGCTGCAATGAGTCCTTTGTACCTCCTCAGAGCAGTAGGAGGTACTGGATTCGAGACTGGGTGCTCTGGCGTTGAATTTGAACCCTGGATCAACTGCTTAATGTGTACTCTTAAGAGAGCTACTTAAGGGACATTTGGCACATCAGTCTAATGAGGGCAACTGTCACAACAGGGCGTTACTGGGAGGTAAAAGCAGGTAGCACACACAAGTACCTAGGAAGATAGATGCATGCTAAGTCCGAGGTTCCTAATGCCCTCCTCCCTCTCTGGTCTTGAAGCCTGCAGAGAGAAGTGGCAGAGGCAGGGTAGATCGTTGCCTCACCTCTTTTATCATCCTCACTCTGCGACCTCGATCCCCTCATTATGCTCTGGAAAACCCATGCTGAAGGAGGTGTCTAGCCAGGAATATCTTTGAAGGTGAAGAACAGACAGAGCTTCCTATTACTGGCATGTTAAGATCTGCTTTCCGTGTGGCCTGAAGTCAGAGTGAGTGGGGGAAATTCAGAAATCAGCAGCACCAGCATTGGTGTACCATGCCAGAGTCTTCTCTTGTCTTCCTGCTCTAAAGGCCATTGTCAGCAGTGTCTGGCCATCCTCTGGCTCCTGGCTTCTTGTTCACCTAGCATGTATCATACTTCTTCCTCTGCACCAGTTCCCAATCTCTGTGCACCCTTCCTTTTCCCAGCTTTCTTCCTGTACAAGCTTCTACCCTTTGTTTGTCCAGAACTCCAACAGGAACACTTAGCTAGCTCATCCCCTTGCAAATTCCACCCATGGGAATTTCCATTCAAAGGAAAAACAATCATATCTAAATCCTGATAAAAATATAATTAGTGTTGTCTAGGCTGATGGAATCATACTTGGAGAGTAAGGGACCTATTTCTCTCTCTTGGGCTGGATGCCTCTGCAGATGGGTCACTTAAAAAATAAAGTGCATGCCTTTAATCTCAGCACTGGAGAGGCAGAAGCAGGCAGATCTCTGAGTTTCAAGACAGACTGGTCTATATAGCAAGTTTAAGGTGAGCCAGGAATACATAATTACACAATGAGACTCTGTCTCAAACTATATAAAAGGGTTAAAATGCAGAAGAGGATTGTCTGTAGCAAAAATTTATTAATACATGACTCCATCTATTTATCCAACCATCTGTTCATCTGTCTATCAATTCATCCAATTACAAATCCATCCATCTTTCCATCTAGTACACACTTATGTAATACCTGCAGTGTGCCAAACCTAGGGATGGCCGTGGGAAGACAGACGAGTAAACAGACAGTCACTGTGCAGTGTGGGCTATGCTAGGAGCACAGGTGCAGCACGAAGAATGGAGTCTGCATCAGTGGGAAGGAAAGGATGGCTTCTTAGAGGAGAGACCCTTGAATTAAAGACCGAGGAACGGAGCAAATTCAACCTTGTTGTTTTCTTTCATTGTTCCATGGATGGGACCAGGGCCAACAAAATAGAGAATCTTAAAAAAAATTATGTGTACATAGTTGTGGGTATGTGCATGTGAGTCAGGTGCCATGGAAGCCAGAAGAAGGCTGTGGGTCCCCTGAAGCTATGGGTGGTTGTGAGCTACCTGACATGGGGGTTGGGACCTGAACTTGGATGCCCTGCAAGAGCAGTGCCCGCTCCTCACTGCCAAGCTGTTTCTCCAGCACAAACTCGGTCACCTTACATCACCTTTGCCTTCTCAGGTTGTCATGGAGTTGGAATGTTTTGGGAGTGAATAGCTCAGAATAAGAAGACAACTTGCTTTTGTTTTGGGGTAGTTTAGTTTTGATTTCTCAGGATCTAAGAACACAGAACGTAAGTTCCTCTTTTTCTAGTTACCTTTCTTTTAAAAAATTGGCACATATTTAATTATACACAGCAATGAGTGCTGTGGGGTGTCTTTCTGTATGCTGTGAATATGTGTTGCTCTGATTGGTTGATAAATAAAGCTGCATTGACCTATGGCAGGGCAGGATAGGGTTAGGCGGTACATTCAAACTGAAGACGAGACTAAGAAGGGTGGAGTTGGGAGAGATGCCAGCCTGCTGCCCAAGGATCAACAAGATGCCAGCAGACCAGTAACGCCATGGCCACATGGCAACATATAGATGAATAGAAATGGTTTGAGTTAAGTTATAAGAGCTATCTAGCAAGAAACCTGACCCATAGGCCATACAGTTTATAAATAATATAAACTGTGTGTTTACCTGGGACCAAGTGGCTGTGGGACAGGGGTGGGAGAGATTTCGTCTGGATCGCAGGGCCGGGCAGGACCAGAGAAACTTCTAGCTACAAATGGGTTTCACTATGGCATGTCTGTATGCGTATATAATGTATTTTAAATCGTATTTCCACCCATTACTTCTGTTCTTTCCCTCCCTCTCCAAATGACCCCCTTCCTTCTCCCAGCCATTCTCTTTCTTGTTTTCATTCTTTTCTTTGCCTTCTTTTTAAAAGTTTAGTGACCCTGGCTGGAGAGATGGCTCAGAGGTTAAGAGGACTCACTGCTCTTCCAGAGGACCCGGTTCAATTCCCAGCATCCACATGGCAGCTCACACCTGTCTGTAATTCCAAGATCTGACACCCTCACACAGACATACACGTAGGCAAAACACCAATGCACATAAAATAAAAATAAATTATCCAAAAAATTTGGTGACCTATTATATTCTACTAGTATTTCTTATAAAAATGTATTTATTTTTATGGTGTGTGTATGTGTGTATGTGTGTGTGTGTGTATTTGTGCACATGCCATGGTGTGTATGTGGAGGTTGGAGGATGGGTTTCTGGAGTCAGTTCCCTCTTTAATCTTTACATGGGTTCTGTGGATTGAACTCAGCTCTTCAGGCCTGTAGAGCTATCTTGTCAGCCCTTATTAGTATTTCTTAAAGGATTCTGGGTAAGGGACTATTTAAATGAGCATGGTTTCCTTACCACCCACTTCCTCTTGACAAGAGTTTCCTGAAACACACCAGAGACTGGACTAGAAGGATCTTGTTCATTTCTAAAGAGCAGAAAGCTTCCAGGGTGCTCTCTTTCATCCCCTCTTGTGTTTGGGGAAGCTCTTGTCTGCCCTCTGGCTACAGTTAGTCATCTTCCTCCTTAGGCCACCCAGAACTCTTGCTGGCTCATTTTCTCTCTTGTTCATGGTGACTAGATTATTTAGAGTCTACACTGGGTCAGCCTGGTCTCACAGAAGCTGCATAGGACACGGCAACTCCATGAATATGAAGTCACATCAACAAAAAAGCTGGGATACTCAGATGCTAGGGCTGCCATTTTGCCTTAGATGGACTGAGGGGATTGCTACATCAGTATATTGTTTCAAGGGCAAGTCTCCCTTCCTTAACATTTACCTGACACATTCTGTTCATATGATGAACAGTGGTCATTATGGATCAGCTTTGGTGAGAAGGACCCCAGTTTGAAGGCATGAAATTAATTTAGTCTAGGAACCTGAGTGAAAAGGTTTCTGCTGTAGGTAGGACCATTATGTGCAGGAATTTTAAGAGCCAAGTGGTGACTGTAGCATCATCCAGTATCCTCACATCCCCGGGGCAGAAGGCCACAGTGTTTGGATAGTGAATAATTCTCATCTCCTTTTCTAGACGATGTAAGTTCTGTTTTATTTGCCAGTGTATCCCCAGGACTTGAGACTAAGCCATTTAATGACTTTTTGCTGCATGAATTAAGATCTACAAGTAATGTGAGAAGAATCACCATTTGTCTTACTGGAATCTCAGCCCTGGGCTGTGTTGACAGAGCTGGTCTCCCCCCCCCCTTTTTTGTGGTAGCTAGCCCCAAATAATCTCAAAGACCAGGCATGTGAAACACATGAGTGCTAATGGATCTGGAGACTTAAGCTCTGGAGGGCCACCTGTCACATAAGATTTGCCTTCAAAGGCCACTTGCTCTGACCTTTCCATAACATTTAAAAAAAAGAAACCTCGGTATTGACCAAATCAGCCCTATCTTCAGTGGAGGTCTAGACAGCTATTTGTACTTCTATTTGAATTTCTTGGTTCTTTTCTTTTTGTACTTCTGGGTAAGCACAGAGGAAAGAAAGTTCTTTTGCTTGACCAAATCTCATTTAAAAATTGTTTGTATTTTTTTAAATGGAACCCAATCCCTTAAGCCTTTAAAAGTAACCTCTGCTGAGCTCAATAAACCATTTCCAATGTGGCAGCTTCTAATCCAGGAGAGCTCAGAAGACAGATGCTAAAGAACCACCAATTGCATCCCAGGACAGTTGCCAAAGTCTCAGGGCTCCACAAGCTGGAGATGCGATCGCTAATCCCGACTCCATTTCTCTGCTAGCTGGCCCAACCGTGCAATTAGCATTCTCCCTGGTGTTGATTTTCTTCAAATATATTGGGCCCATCAATCACCCACTTTCCAACTCGTCTGTCTGGATCAGTCAATTACAAAGTTATTTTTGAGCCACTAGGATTCTTGTGAAATAGACACAAGAAGGAGCTAAACTCATTTCAGGTTTGACCTCTGCGGCTGGGATCTGAGGAGCTTGGTTTGCTTACACTTCATGGCCATCCAATCCGATCTGGCCTGGAGAATAGAAAGGCCACTTGCTTAATTGGGAACACTTTAATACAGATATCCATTAACTTATGCTAAATTACAGTAAAACATCTATGGAGGAACTTGATGTGACATCTGCATGAATACTAAATAACTTCATTACGATCAGCGCTGTGACAATGAATAGGAAATGAACGTGCCCAGGGAAGGCAATTCATCTCCCACCTTCTCAAGTTATTACTGTTTTTTTTTTGTTTTTTTGAGACAGGGTTTCTCTGTGTAGCTTTGCGCCTTTCCTGGAACTCACTTGGTAGCCCAGGCTGGCCTTGAACTCACAGAGATCTGCCTGGCTCTGCCTCCCGAGTGCTGGGATTAAAGGCGTGCGCCACCACCGCCCGGCCAAGTTATTACTGTTTTATTTCCCCCTGCACTGACAAAAAAAAAAAAAACCAAACCCCAAACCAAAAACAACAACAACAACAAAAAAAAACCTTCCCAAATAAGCCCATGTTTTTTTCCCTGTGTTTGTCACTTCCTGTAAGCCACTGAGTGGTTCTGGTAAGTGGCACAAAAGAGTAGTGGGTATCCTGGTGCTCTATTTTGGTTTAGGGAAGAAGGCTGTCAAGACTGACTGAACATCACACACACACACACACACACACACACACACACAGACACACACAGACACACACACACACACACACACACAGAGAGAGAGAGAGAGAGAGAGAGAGAGAGAGAGAGAGAGAGAGAGAGAGAGAGAGAGAGAGAGAGAGAACTGAAGAGTCCTCCAGTGGAACCTGCAAACAGACTGTCAGTTCAGATTAGCAACATGAAAAGCACTCCAGTCTGCTCCCTGTGCACGTTTTGCTACAGATCTGGGGGAAGAATTTGGCCTCTGAATGAAGTCTTCTTTTTCCTCCTGGGTTTCCCATCCCTGGAAAGTATGGCCAGGAGGGTCCAGTGGTCAGATGAATACTCTGTGTGGCATTTAGTCCAAATCCCACGACTTGGGCCCAAAGATACATCTTCTCCTGTGATTTGCCGTTGCTGCACATGGGTTCTCCCTGAGGCTCGGGGTTAGCCACAGGACCTCCAGCTTGAAGGTTATACCTGACTCTGGTAAGGGGAGGTGGAGGCATGGGTGAAAGCTCCACCCCACTCTCTGCCAGTTCAATAGATCTGTTCTGATGTCTCCCAAGTCTACACCCACTCCAGCACTCCCCTGTATCCCAGAACCACAGACCTGCCCCTCACAATCTTCTTCATCTTTATAATGGGACAGTAAAGCTCTCTGTGACTTGGGCCACCTAGAGTTGTCACACCCACATACAATCTGTCACCATAGCCTTGTGGTCTCAAAATATCTTCACTAGCCAGTCACCTCTCAGCACTTCCTTGTAGCTGGAGAGTTTTCTCTCTGGTTCCTCCAAACCCCGGCAGTCCAACAGCCCACTTATAAAATAAACACACAGACGCTTATATTATTTAAACTGTTTGGCCTAATGGCTCAGGTTTCTAGCTTTCTAGTTCTTACATCTTAAATGAACCCATTTCTATAAATCTATACCTTGCCACGTGGCTCGTGGCTTACCGGTATCTTCACATGCTGCTTGTCATGGTGGTGGCTGGCAGTGTCTCCCTCCGCCTTCCTGTTCTCTCAATTCTCCTCTCTTAGTCCTGCCTATACTTCCTGTCTGGCTACTGGCCAATCAGTGTTTTATTTATTGACCAATCAGCAACACATTTGACATACAGACCATCCCACAGCACTTCCTCTAATGTCCCCTTGGCCCCCGCCATCACCACTGGCTCCCCAGAGGGTTGCTATGACCTCCTCCCAGCTCTGAGGCTAGTACAGTCTCTGTCTTAGGCCTTGTTTCAGAAGAGCCACTTGGTATCTGCAAGGTTATTTGTGACTTCACTGAATCAGGGTCAGGGTGTCACATGGACTTTCAGAGATTACGGATCTGCTGATCTGAAGTGAAGGGACGCCTTTGGTTCTAGTGTTCTTTCTTTCTTTCTTTCTTTCTTTCTTTCTTTCTTTCTTTCTTTCTTTCTTTCTTTCTTTCTTTCTTTCTTTCTTTCTTTCTTCCTTCCTTCCTTCCTTCCTTCCTTCCTTCCTTTCTTTCTTTCTTTCTTTCTTTTTTTGAAACAGGGTTTCTCTGTATAATAGTCCTCGCTTTCCTGGAACTCACTTTGTAGACCAGGCTGGCCTCAAACTCACTGAGATCCACAGGCCTCTGCCTCCCCAGTCCTGGGATTAAAGGCGTGTGCCACCACCACCCAGCTGTCTTTGGTTCTAGTTAACAATCAGAAAGGAGAATGTCGTGCTTTCTACTTGGACCACAGGCAAAGAAGGTTCCAGTTGGTAGGGTGTGCCTTACTAAGACATTTGCAAGCTTCATTCAATATGGGCCTCTTGGCTTCCTATGGGGCATCTTAAGGGTCTGCATGATGTCCCACTGACCCTTGCAGCTAGCTCCGTTTCCCTGTTGTGCTCCAGGAGCTTAGCTCTTGTAGCCAGATTCCCACTATATTTGAATAGCATGATGCATTTTCATATTAATGTGTAGGGTATTTGAGAATTCAGAGTGAATCCAGTTCTGCACAGAGCCACGTTCTACCTGCCAACCCCCACCACCACCCTCTTGCTTGGGTGTGAGCGTTCCCGGCCTTTACTTGTACTTCGCAGCAGGAAGGCTCCAGGGGGGCAATCGTCAAAGGACTCTCTCCATCTCACACCGGGAGGAGTGAGATGCACTGAAAAGAAGCGTCCCTCTGAACTGTGCAGAGATGGGCAGGTGTCCTGGGGTGTTCTGGTAGGAGCCTGGTTCTCTACAGTGCTGTTCACAGAGAGAGCCCCGAGGTCTTCCCACCCCCACCCCCATGGAGGGCAGGTCTCTATAACCAAGAGGGTGGCAGGGGGCCCTAACAATCTTGTTAACACATCAAGTAATGGATTCTTGACAGATGCCTTCCTGCCTTCTAGTTCCTTCTTCACACTCCTCTCTCGCTGGTCTCCCTGGGATCAGTGATTAGTTCTCACACTGTTCCCTCTTCTGAGAGCGGCGAGAGGCTCTGTATGTACCAAGGCTTTGTTGTAAATGTCTGGTTGTGCCCACGCCAGGCACTGCATTCCTGTGGGGAACACAATGGGGGTGAAATTGCCTGTCTGTGAACGCGCAACCCAGACTCCAGAAAAGCAAACGCTGCCGGCCCTCCTCTGCCTTCCCAAACAAACGCTCAGGCTAAGAACAGGTTCCATTTTCTTGGGTGACCACCAACTTCAACAGAGTAAACTAAGACCAGGCTGAGAGCAAGCTTTGGACAGTATCCCATGGGAAAGGAGAGGATGGGGGCAGAGTGGAGCTACAGGAAGTCATAATAGAAGAAGGGGTGACTCAGGAGGAATAAAGAGCCATCTGCAGGTAGGGTTCAGGGAAGCCATGTCACTATGACCCATCTAGGCATAAAGTTCACGTGTGAAAAACTCTAAGTTGCATGCCTGATTGAACAGAGTGCACATATTATACCTGTGTATATGTGCATGTTCATGCTTGCAGGTGCACATGTGAGTGTGGGTACACATTGTGTGTGTGTGTGTGTGTGTGTGTGTGTGTGTGTGTGTGTGTGTGTGTAGGTCAGAAGTCAATCTCTGGTACCATTCCTCAGGAGTCATCCACCTTGCCTTTTGAGACAGGGTTTCTCCTTGGAACCCGGGGCTCATCCATTAGGCGAGGCTGGCTGGCTAGTGAGCCCCAGGGATGCACCTGCCTCTGCCTCCCTGCCTCTCTGCTATGGGATTCTAAGCGTGTACCATAAGGCCTGAGTTTTAATGCAGGGTCTGGAAGTTGAACTCAGGTCCTCCTGCTTGGGTAGCAAGAACTTACTGACCTCGGCCCCCAGAGCGAACATGTATCAAGCATCTCCTGTGTGTGAGGTTTTAAGGCAAAGAATTCAAAGGTGAGCAAGACAGGATTTCAGAGTCCATGAATCCTACGATCTGGAATGGTAGGAAGGTAGCTGGCCCCCTCCCTTTCTCTTTCTTTCTTCTCTGCTTTCTCTAGTCCCCCTCTCCTACCACTCTCTTTCCCTCTCCTTTCTTCTTCCTTCCTTTCCATCCAGTACGAAGCGCATTTGCTGTAAGGAAGGTGTCGCCATGGATGGCTCCGGGGCAGCCCAGGAACTGGGCTTGAAAACCGACTCTGCCACTCACTAGCACTGCACACATAGCTTTAATTCCCTCAGTTCTGCAATAAGAATGGGAAGATTTTCTATTTCTCAGGGTTAACACAGGGATTAAAAAGATAATGTATATCAAAGCTCTGCGAGCACAGTAAATGCCTAATGAACAGTCGGTGGAAGAATGAATTGGAAAGTAAAGAAAATGCAAGAGACAGCCGACGAAAGCTCATCATCGGGTGGAGGTTAGGCTGACGTCCGCAGGGAGGATGGCGTTAGAGAAGACCTTGAAGAGTAGGGAGGATTCGCGTGTATAGACGAAGGCTATTTGAACAGAAACAGCTTGAAGGCTGCAATGGGAAAGAGAAAGGCATGCTGATGGAGAGGTGTGTGGAGGGAACAGAGTGGGAGGGATGGGCTGAGGCTCAATCATGGAAGACCCTGACTGCTGCGCCAGGGACAAGGACTGACTCAATGCTGAGCAAGAGCGAATCATTAGAGGCTTCAGACTGGGGTGGAGGAAGGTCAAGGCGGCAATTAAGCTGGTGGGATTGTAGTGGAGAAGAACTGAAGAGGAGGAGGAGGAGGCCAGAGACGCCGATCATCACAGGGAGACCGAGTGAGGCTCATCACAAAGCCGATTGCAGAAGAGAGGAAGGAATGGGGGACAGCCGATACGCATTGGTGACCAAGGAATGCAGAGCATGAGCATCAGTGCTGACCCTGAGCATGGAGGGAAAGAACTGAGGCACCCAGGGTGTCAACCATTGTTCTTGAAACACAAAGAACACGCAGTAGCTTTTAGAGGAAAATAGTCTGTGCTGTGGGTGGCACCTCAGAGACCTTGCAGGACACCCGTGTGCAGGTGCAATGTAGTCGCCCCTAAGCCCATAGTCTAAGATTGAGTCTAAAGCTTGGAGCAAGAATGTGGGACCATCTTCACAGGGTTGGGGATGGAAAGGGTGGGCAAAGACAATTGAGAAAGGGCTAAAGGCTAAAATAACTCTTGATCTATGGAACCAGCATGCTAAATTAAGATGGATCCAGTGAGTAGCAGGGGCTGAGTAGGGCTCTGGAAAATCAAATGGAATGACAAAAAAGGTAAGGAATTCCAAAGTGCAGACATACATGGTCACCTACATGGTCCTAAACTTCAGACTGACGGAAGCCTGCGTGGGGCCTGGGAAACTAGAGGAAAGTGAGAAAATGGAAGGCCAAAGGAGAGCTAGAAAGCAGGCCGGGGGGGCGGGGGCGGCCAGTGAGGACACAGGAAGAGCTTGTCAGGTGGATGTTTAGTCGTTGTGAGTTGAGAGACAGAAGGAATTGAAGAGGTCTGACTCTTGGGAGGTCTGAAGTCACCAGGCATGCAGCAGGTGACAGGCTTGGTTGGGTCAGGGATGCTGAGAGTTAGTGTTCAAAACCTTAAGGGGAATAGCATGGACCCAGAAAACCTGCCGGGGAGAAGAGAAGCGCTATAGAGGACAGAGGTGCTGGGGGAAGGAACCCGCATTGAAGTGAATGTGGAGAGAGCACTAGATAGGACCTGTTGATTCCCTTCCTACTAGACACCTCAAGGAGTTAACATTTCAGATGGAGGGACAAAGACTATCCATTCAACAAATAATTGGTAGATTTCAAAGCTAGCAAATAATACGAGGGCTAAAATGTATGGCGCTGATCCCACACATCACCTGGGTCTGGCGCCTTTGATCCTAACAAATGGCAAACATCCCACGTCCCGTAGAGCACCACTGCAGCCCAGGGAATTAGGAACACATCTCAGAATGGGTGGACTCGTGTGGACTTTGATGGAAGGGATTGGCAAGAAGGAAGAGAGCGTTTTCAGCAACAGGAGAGTGAACACACAAACAGAGCAGGCATGGGCACGGCGTCCTCCTGCTGACGAGGTTGGCGCAGGGTGAATATCATAAAGGAAAAGTTGGGGGAGTACCCAATGGGACAAGAAAGTGCAGGTCTGCAGACTGGACCAAGAATTCAAATGTCAATGGTGTTTTTCCCACCTTGGTTTGCCTGCTGTCATAGGCTCAGACCACTCTCATCATTAGTTATATGTACGTCAAGCATCCTGATCCACGGTACCTGTGCTCATCACTTGTCTTGGAAAAGAGCAATTTAAAGCAGGGAAGGTATAATCTTGCTCACAGTTTTTATAATCTACCGCGGCAGGGAAGTTATGGCAGCAGGAACTTGAAGCAACCGCAACACTGGGTCCCCAGTTAAGAAGCAACGGGGCGGGGGAGGGGAGAGAGAGAGAGAGAGAGAGAGAGAGAGAGAGAGAGAGAGAGAGAGAGAGAGATTGAGAAATACTTTTGCTCAGCTCACTTTCTCCTTTATATTCAGTCTGTGACTCAGCCCGTGGAATGCCAGTGCCCGCGTTTAGAGTGGGTCTTCCCACCTCAATTAACCTAATCTTGGTAATCTCTCACGGATATATCTGGAGATTTGTTTCCATGGTGATCCTAGAGCCCATAAATGACAATGAAGATTAATTATGACAGTCCCGATACTGAATACGTAGCTCTCTCGTGGCACTGACTCCATGATGCTGGTGGCTGGCACCCTGGACTTGTTCTATCTGAGGCAGACAGCTGCTGGTTTCTGCAGCTCCTTCATTCTGTAGGGGATTTTACACATCAGGCAGAGTGAGAGCTTGGTAAGTAAATGTGGTACGATGAGCCCGACGACAACGAACAACCAGGCATGAGTCAGAGGGCACGTGCTGGAACTGGGTTCCAGGGTTGGGCCAGAGCCTCCCACAGCTGACCTGAAATCTCTACGGCCCAAAAGAAATTCTAGATTTCTAAAGAAAACACTGTAGGAAGCTCTCAGAGCCATTGTTAATTAAAAACACTCCCAGTTCTCCAGAGGGCATTGTCTCCCTCATCCTCTCCCCTTGCACCGAATGGCAGATAAGGTGGTGTCTGGACCTCTGCTTGGTTGGACCACATTTAATTAAATGCCTACCCTGACTGCTTCCACACATACCCTGCTTTATTTCCTTTCCTTCCTTCCATGCTAAAGAGGGCCAGGGCTAATACTAATGCATATGCTGTTAAACCTTTTTAATTAACTTCAACTTCTCCCAGAGATTTATGTTTAAACAGTAAATTTTTTGTTGATACTCAAATACATAGGCGGCACTCAGAGTGATGTATGAGCACTCTTGTCCTCAAAATGATTCTTCATGAGTTACCACCAGAGACATTTTCATGAGCCTCTTTTATTAAAATAATAATACTCAGCAAGGCAATAATGCTTTACAACCAGCAGCTAATTAACCCGCCCCACCCCCCACAGGTCAGCATTAGCATCTGCAGGTTAGAGATATGATCACCCAGCGGGCCCCCTCCTACCTTCCAGTCAGCAACTGAACCTGGCTGGGCTTTGTGTTCAGCGTCTATGAGTAATGATTTTCATTTAAAGTGCATCTTTGTTCTTGGACGGTAGCGCCATCTGTTATTACCGTTATTTATTTTGCCCTCGTTTAGTGCCTCCCCTGTACTCGGTATCAGGCTGTCTGATCTGCAGGTGACCTCTCCACCAGATCTTCACCGGCCCTCGGAAAATCCCATGCCTTGGAAGACTCTGGTCTAATGGCAAACTCCATTTATTTTCCTACAACTCTCAATTTGTGCTCCAAGTATTTTTAATCCAAATTACCACTGCCGGTTGTAATTGCAATACTGCAAACGTTTGCCAACACAACCAGTGTCCCTCCGCAAGCTTCTGCCCGGCTCTTCATGTTGAGGCTGCACTTCCCCAGTGAGCCCAGGCAGCTATGCTCTGTGCTGTATCACCGGTGAGCCAATTATTTCAATTTTGGCATCAGATTCAGAAGAGAGTTTAATGATCCTCCATGGTATAAACTGAATTTTTATTCCTACAGCAATTTAGTAATGATGATGGCACTTAAGTACTTAGAATATATTTCTCATCTTCCCACTCTGATAAACAGGGGGCCAGACAACCAGTTCAGTCACTTCTCTGGACTGCCACATTGACACCATTTTGCAGAATTAGGAGGCCAAGCTTACTTACATCCCGCTCTTCTGCCAGGGAATGGGGGAAAAGAATCCCCCAGACTCCACGCCTCTCTGCTGAGGATTCAGGTGGGTGTCAGAATAAGGTCCCAGGACTTACACACTCATGTTAATTAACCCACTTGTTCACTTATTCAACAAATATCTAATGAGTTTCTACGAGGTAAGGAAACTAGGCCCCAGGAGAGAGCTGAGATGTACCAGGCATGTTCTTTTTTCCTCTAATCAAATTCAACTCCAACCCCCCAGCTGGGTTCCAAATGATTTGAGTACTTCATTTATGTTCGCATATGTTTGCTCCAGCCATTCAGCAAACAGTCGGCAGGCACCTTCTAGGTATGAGCTGTTCCTTTGGGAGCTCAATAGTTTACAACAAAGACCTAATCTGTCAGCAGATTCTGTTGGCTCTGCCTCTATCTCTAATTCTGGGATCTGGTCTTTTCTCATCCTCCATGGCTTCTGATCTGGGCCAATCACATAAGCCAGAACCTTCTTATTGATCTCTGTGTATGAGGGAGACTGTGTCAACCAGACTGACTTTTAGGCTGCGATTACCTAAGCGAGAAGATCTGCTGTTAATGTGGACAGTGTAGTCGCATGGGCTTCTGGGAGGAAAAGGAGGAAAAGGGGGAAAGTAAATGAAGCACCAGGAAGCTGAGTCTGCTTTCTGACTCTGGATGCAATGTGACCTCATGCTTCTTCAGCCACAGCTTCCTTCCCTGACAGGATGGGCTATCACTCCTCAGACGGTGAGCCAAATCAAACCCTTCCTTCTGTAAGTTGCTGTTGACGGGTATTTGTCACAATAATGAGAGAAATAACTAACATACCCTACCCTGCTTCTGCTCTTGTCTTCCACTGTCTGTTCTCAACACAGCATAGCCATCTTTTAAAATACAGACTCCGACTGTGCACATCTTCAAAAGGTCCTAGGCCTTTCTGTCTCACTCAGAGGAAAGGCCTGGTTTCGCCTCTCCGTCTTGGTCTCTTTTCTTCTCTCTGTTCACCCTGTCCGAGTCACTCCGATTTCTTTGCTGTTCCTCCGACTCACCAGGCAAGTTCTTACCTCAGGGCCTTTGCTTATCTGTGGCTCTCTCTGTTTGGGGTGTTCTCTCTTCAGTTACACACGTCTTATTCCTTACCATCTCAGGACATGGCCCCATTGTCAGCTTCTCTGGGCTGGCCAGTTCCTTTAAAATGCTTACCTAGTCCTGCTCTGAGTTGCTATATTACTTCCACTGCTTTGCTCTATGGTGCCCTCTGTGTGACATATTACTTCCTTTATTTATGGTATGTCTCTCACCACTAGAATGTAAATTCCACACAAGCATAGGCCTTTCTCTGTTTTATTTACTGTTTACGGCCTAGCCGTAAACAGATATTTAAAAAAAAATTGTTGAATATCTATACATGTATGTAATGAACACATGTACTAAATAGCATTATCATGGCCTCCACAGAATTTACAACGAGGCTGAAGCTTTATCTAGAAATAAGCAGGAGCTGTCATCCAAGAAACCCAGGTATGGTAGTTCAAAAGGTAGAAAATTCTTTTTGCCATCTTGAACGAGCCAGGCAAACAGGGCCCTAGGGTCACAGGTATGTTCTGTTGGGAAAGAGCTGCAATACCTGTGGAAGGGTAACAGAGGTTCCTTGAGGCTCAGTCTATGACTGGACCTAGAAAGACTGGGCGCCTTGTGTGGCGTCTCATGGAAACCTGGTGGCCACGGCAGCTGGCCGTCCTTTGCCTCCTGCCTACGTCTCACTAACCAGCGCCCGTGCAGAATCAGCCCCACGTCCTGCATGGAGCCCCTGCTGAGGCTCTGTGGCTGTAGTCTGCAGATGTCAGTGGCGAACATCTGGGGGAAGGAGAGTCCTGTCATTTCTCCTGACGGATCTCGACAAGAGATGTCAGGTTAGAGCTAGTTATCTGAGTGCCTAACTGGATCCTGAGGATAAATCTCTTAGTTTGGTAGCACTTTACAGTATGTGGCAGCAGTTCATGCATAATTACTTCTGAATTATCTAGGGAATTCATCAGGTTTGATTATAGATGCATAATGAACTTACCAAATTTGAGGGTATTAGGGAGATATTAATTCCATATGAAACCTCACAATTCATTCATGTGCCATTTGTTTTCATTCCTTTTTTATAATAAGCTAATTAGTTTAAATTATTTGTACTTGTACAAGGTCTTGAAACACATATAAGGAATGATTATACTACAGAACCCAATAAATGAGAAGCTTTAGAGACAGCATTAATTGTGATAAAGGGTTCATAAAGCAGTAGATGTTCAATTTTCCCATTTGGGGTGGTAATAATAGGCCTAATCATGACACCTCCATAAAGTCGTGGGAAGTCCCTAATTAACATTTCTGAATTCAGATATTTAAAAGAAGGTGGGAGAAGCCGTTGTGCCAACCGGAAGATGAGGCAGAAAGGGGAGTTCGACCTTGTGCTAAGCAAAGAAGAAAGGAGGAGCCAGGCAGGGCTTGCTAGTCCTGTGCTAGAAGGAAGATGCACACTCAGGCCTTATCGGCTCTGAGGACTCTGTGAGGAAAAACGCCAGGTTCTGAAGGTCATGGGCAAGCCAGGATTTCTGTCCTTCCAAACGGAAGGTGGGCTTTGGGTGGACCCCGGCACCTGCTGGCTGACCCTGTTGTTATTTATGTGGCACTGGCTCGCTCTGGACTGTGAACCTACCTGCAGTCCCTGCGTGTGGTGAGTGCCAGCTCCCTTGTTAGGGCAATGAGGAGGAAGCAAGGCAGTGGAGGCCTCTGGTAAGCTAGAATTCGATGGAAACAGTGGAAGGAGGTGCCCCACCTCGGGCACATTCCTGGTGTTAAGATGGAATTCAATGGTCAAGTGGGTGCCTGGCATGAGGGAGGCTCTGGGCTCAGTCCCTAGCCTGACAAAACTAAGAACGCTCCAGTGCCAAGCAAGTGCTTCAGACATGTGTTTCTTCATTTTCGTAAGGGGTCTCCGGGGTGGCCACGACTGTTATTTCCAAAGGTCAAGGGAATAAGAACAAGAACTCAGTTGTAGTTGCCCACAACTACCCAGTAGTGAGCTAGGCCCTGGCTGTGTCTAATTCTGAAGGTAGCACTGGAGCCCTGTTTTGTACAGCTTCTAGTATGTCCTGCTGTCCCTGAACATCAGGACTGTTGTTATAACCCCCAGCCCTTTTACTACCACAGGGACTCAATGTGCAGCTAGGACCGGCTGGAACTCCCTGTGTAAGCCAGGCTGGCCTTGAACTCACGATCCTAGTGCTTTAATATCTAGAGTGCTGGGGTTTCAGACTCTGTCACTATACCTGGCACTTTTTTGAAATTGTAATCTTGGATTGTCTCTTTTCAGATCCACCAGGACTCTCAAACAGTGGCTTTTCCATTTTCTTCCCTGGGGACCTCCATGGGATGAACGCCAAGGACCAGCTACCTCACTGGTTCCCTATGACTATTAGGAAAAGCCACACAAGGGTTAATGCGTAAAGAAATTCTGCTTTGGATGAGACACCACTTTAATTTATATTTGATTAAAAAAGTCATTCATTCATGCATTCAGCAGCCGGTATTTGTTAAATGTCTCCTCCACTCTTAATTGGGTTTTGTTGAGGTGGTGGGGGGAGGAGAGGAGAGCGAGCAGGTATAATAAAGCTTATGCCAGACACCTTGTTTATAATTTTCTTGTGAAGAATATATGTACACAGCTGAAAAGTTAAGTAAACAAGAGAGTGATTGAATAACCAGGCAACTGAGAGAGGCAGACAGCAAGCTTCCTTCAGCAAAATGGAGCAGGCAGCACTGGGGCCTGCTGGGGGCCATTAGAGCTTCCTAGGAGTGGAACGTGGCGGTTCAGTGAAGGATGGACAGGGATGGGATGGCAGAGGGACCCCCAGCTGGACCCTGTCAGAAAAGCAAGCCCTTGTCCTTCCTTGGTCTATAACTAGCTGTTTGACCTTGGGAAGACATTGTTGCCTCGTGTCTTCACTGCAAGATGGAGAGAAGGATACTTCACAAGGTCTTCCCAGTAGAAAAGTGCCTATGAAATGACTCCAAGTGACATAAAAAAACAATCCAAATGCCACACCCGGTGGCAGAAAGACCGAGGCCACAGGTGCACTTTTTATCAAGGCCAGTCTCTAAGTTCATCCTCGGGAGAGGGTCTTTTCAAAAATCACATGGACCTGAGCCTCGACTCTACAGATGCAGACTTTGAGGAGGTGTAACCAGGACAGCGAGGGAGTACTGTGGGAGAAGCCAGTGAGGTATGATAAGACCAAGGCCAGTCTTGAGGCTCCCCTGATACTGGACCAGAGTATGGTAGGAGCTGGGATTGAGAAAAAGGAGGGACTTCCTGCTTTTCTTGTCTCCTGAGTTATCAGTAGAACATGGCAAGTTGTTCTGCGATAGCCACATTCAGTTGCACCAAATAAATAAAATAAAAGCATGTAACAGCCTCTATGGGATTGCGCAATTCAGGGGAAAGTGATACAGTTTCTTCCTGGAGGGTCACTTCCTTGGGGTAAAGGGCACATTTTAGATACTGTATTATTATTCTCTACCACCTTAAGCTTTGAGCCTGTTACAAACCTACCCTTGGTCACAGTGAGGCGATAGCTCTCTCCATTCCACAGTGTGACACCCTCAAACCTCATCATGAGCCTGTGGTTCTAAACGCTGACCCACTTATTTCTCCTTTGAGATGTCGGACTGTTTTGGATGTCTGCACCCAGTTTCATGAGTCTGCAGAGTGAGGCCTCATGGCTAGGCTGTTTAGTAGGGCAAGGAGGGACTTCTCAACTGGGGACACTGATTTATTGCTAAAAGTTGCTGAGAATGAGTTTTCTTCTTTGTAGCCAGGACTTTCACCAATTCAGTGACAGGATGAAGAATCAACCCCCAGGAGATGGATCTGGGATAGTTAAGCCGAAAGGAATTTTCAATGAGGAACAAGTCCTATTTTTTTCTTCTCCAGGAAGCTGCCTCTAAAGTACTGAAGATGGAGACAGGATTGATTTTTCCAGAAGAACCTCAGCAGAGGAGTTCATGAAGAAATGAGGAGAAACAAGTGTGACTGAGAGTACTCTTCTCCCCCCTCCCCCCCACCGTGCCACATCCTGCCTGTCTGTGGGAGAGTGTTATCCCGGCCATCTCAGAGTCACCATACAGGTGACATGTGAGAGGTCTGAGCTCCTACAACCCTGACATGCCCTGGGCCATGTATATCTAAAAATTTACTCCCTTTCCCTTCCACGATACCTCATATACGTCTTAATTAAAAAAAAAATGCATGTTTTAAGCTTTTTTTTTTTTTCTTAAAAAATTTTAGCCCTTGTCCTTCAGAGCTATCATTAATCTAACGGACAGTAAGTCAGGAGCCTGCAGACATCACTCCTTGTCTTCTTGGCCTGCAGAAGATAGCCAACCTGCCTCATTTTAGGGAGGAGAAAAGGACGTGTGGAAGACTATTCTTAGCTCACTCTGGTCCAGGCTGCACGGAAGGCAGGTGGATCTTGCCCGCCGTGGGCAGATGATGGCAGGCCCATCTATCCATCCCCATTTTGTGCCTTGTGATTTGGCAGCTCTGGGAAGGTTTGTGAGGCAGAGGGAAGGGTGGGATCGGGGCTCAGGGAAGGGGTAGGAAGAGATAAGTGACTTCAGTCAGGATCATTTTTCCTGATGTCAAGCCTCACCCAGGAGAGCTTTCCCTGTTGCCTGCTTTTATCTGGAAAACAATACAAGCAGTATCTCTGAAAATTAGGTCAGGGCTTGTGATGGCAGGGGCTTGCCAAGGTGTGAACTGCCTGAATCCTCGGCGGGCTCGCTCTGCGTTCTGCTCTGACAAATGTTTCCTTTGTTTCCCTGAAAAGTCTGACTTGCCGAAGCGCCTGAGCCTGCTCTTTCTCTTTCTTTTGGTCTCCCCACGGACAACAGAATTTGGAAAGAAAAAAAATTCCCCACTTGTCAAGTTCTCCCTCTTCCTCTGAACTCCTTCTCTGCTGCTATCACTCTGGGGACTGGAAGCCACTTTGAGGAGGGTGTGAACCCTCCTTCTTATCATCTCTTCAGCAGGGTAGGCCGACCTGCACCAGAAGTCTTAGGAAGGCTGTGTGGACCCTGCCAGGGCCAGCAATGTCAGAGGTAAGTCCTGGGCTGGCAATCAGGAGAGTTCCCACAGGCTTGTCATGACCCAAATTCCTTTGAGGCAAAAGCCTGAGTGAAATCTTGCTCCCAAGAGAGCAGTGGTGATCACAACACAGTGCCCTTAGTTTTGAGAACAGTGTGACTTTTCTTACATTGTTGGTGCTGGTCAGGCATCTGATAACACAACTCTTTAACTCTACTGAGTGCGACTGGAGAAGGGGTGACGGGTATTGGAAACTAATAAGAGCTCCCCCATCCCAAGCTCGGAAGGGCTGGTGAACCCACCCCGTCCTGAGTCCGCCATTACCTATACTCTGCAAGGAGGGAAAATTGAGATGTTTCTAGAACGAGAAAACATCAGGTACTCCCAGGAGTGTGTGCAAGGTCAGCGATGCTATCTAGGGAGGTTGGAGGATGTCTGTTGACTCAGTTAGATCTCAGGCTACTTCTCCCACCTGAGCTTTGTTTTGTCCCTTGCAAAATGATTTAAATGAGACAACACAAAGCTGGTGACGTGGTTCAGCAGGTGAAGGCACTAACGGCAAGCCCCACCTCCTGAGTTCGAGTCCTGGCACCCGTGTGGTAAAAGGAGAGACTCGGCTTTTGCTGGTTGTCTTTCCTCTGACTTCCACATGTGCACTATGCACACCTCTATGCACACATGTGCCCATGTGGGCACACACACACACACACACACACACACACACACACACGTGCAAATAAATAATTATAATAAAAAACCCCAAAGACAAAAGACTTTTAAAAAGGACAATATATTGGATAATCAATAAGCCTGCAATAGTTATTAGTTGTGATTGCAGCTGTTTTGTCACGTTTGGTAAAGGCAGTAGAATAGACGACACTACTCTGTGAATGTGTCTCCTCCGAAGTTCAAGTTTACCATTGTAGTAGTATTAACAGGGGTTCTTACCAGGTGATTAGGCCACAAAGGCTGCCCCCTCGTGGGTGGTATTAGGTTCCCTTACAAAGGGGCTTGATGAGGGTGTGCCCTCTTGCACTGTCCTGCTGCCCTGTGAGCACACAGGTTCCTGGGATGCCACAAGACACCATCTTGGAAGCAGAGAGCAACCTTCCCAGACAACCAAGCCTGACACTTGATCTTGGGCTTTTTAGCCTCCAGAAGAGTCAGAAATAAATCTGCTTTATTCTAAATTACTCAGTTGGTGTTAGTTTGCTATAGCAAGATGGAGCAGACTGAGGTAAGTACTATGATCAAAGTCTCCAGAAGCCCAGAATAATGCTTCAAAAGTTTTGGTCTTAAGCCAGGTTTTTTTTGTTTTTAAGATTTGACATGTAGTGACAACATATAACACTGGTGGAAGTGAGGGGGAGAACAATGGGGACAAGTGGCTGGGTCCTAGGCATTCCTGCTCGTCTTCTGCATTGGCTAATTGTTTGTGGAGGCAGTCTGGACTTTAAAAGAACCCCAGGACTCTGAGGAGCCCTGAAAAGTCCCTCAAAGTGAGTGGATCATTTCCCCGAGAGTTAGAGACCAACATAACATGAAGTTGGTGGGCATGCTTCAGTTAAACACACCAATCCAGGAGCATGGGCAAAACCTGCAGGCACAGTGGGCACAGGACTGCAAGGTGTGTGCTGGCAGAAGCCCTGCCCCAGTGGAATGTGCTGTTAGGTAGGGAAGGGCAATGATTTTTCCTTTTCCTATCTGGAAGGAGGCCAGGCAGTGTGGAAATGCTGATGTGCAGACAGGTAGGTGTGAAGTAGAGTAAGGGAGTGAAGACACCAATGGAGAGAGTGAACCCTTCCCAGAGAGGACAGCCTGGGAGGGAGGATCTCCTGGGCTTCCTGTTGGCAGTGTCAGGTGGGCCTGAAGCTCTGATTCCATCCATGCATAGCCATATTGAGTCCTGGGGTGGTCTGACAAGTCCATACCATCTGTCCATTTTACTTCCTATTTGCTTTTGGTGAATGGTCTGGGGAAAAGACAAGGAAATAATTAGACCAGGTTAAGGTTAAACCTGGTAAGGCCATTTGGAGATTCATCTACAAGGTTTTCTGTGAGAACCTATTTGCTGAGGCTCATTCAGCCTTCCTGTGGCTTAGTCAATGTTCTGCTTCTGTTGGAGTCCAGTTAGCTTCTCTTGCCATGGGGTCCCTTCCCAGGAAAGGGCTCTTTGAGAGTTGTGCCTGGAATGCCCAAATTCCAAGTGCAGCCACGTTGTCATGGTAATGCACAAAGTCAGTCATTCCTCTACAGATCGCTGCTTTCCATGGTCCTAAAGGATGTATCTCTCTACTCAGTTGTACACAAAGTATTCCTAACTTTAATGAGATGATTGCCTTACATATTTCAAGACATGGCACCTTTAATTCTCCAGGGAAACACATAGCCTAAACACAACTTCCTAAGCCCCTCCTATGAAAAAATTCAGACTGCTTCAGTCCCGAGGAGAAAGGCTTTCTGTGTTTCTTCTTCATGTCTTAGGGCTGAAGGTGACTCAGGGATGTACCTTGCAATTTTCATGATCCATTGGTGTCTCAGTAATGAATGTTCACCACAGCAGTGCCCTCATTTAGCCTAATAACCTCAGCAAGGTAATATTTGATTTGTGCTAAGTATCTGATTAAACAACATAAAGTATTTAACCTATTGATCTTTTATACCTTGCCAGCCCTGCATTGCTGGATCTACTTTAATTACTGACTTGGAGAGCTCTCCTGAATGGGCTCTGCATCTTGTTAAGCTCCTTCCTTTCCTTTAAGGCTCCCTGTCAACAGCTTCCTCTTCCTGTTGCTTCTAGGCCTTTATCCTGCCTCCTGCTCCTCTACCGCATCAACTTGCTTCTGCTGGAGCCTGGCATTGTGGTGGGCATTCTTTGTGTGGCCACAAATCCTACTGATTATTCTAGAAAATCATTGATCACATCGACAACAAAGTTGCTACTTTGTCTACCATCATCCTTGGAGCACAGAGAGTCATCCCAGTTGACAGCCCTTCCTGAGAGCATGGGTCACAGTTGTTGGATTAACCTTATCCCTCTATCTCACAAGGAGGAGAGGCAAGTGGGCATTCATCAAGAGAACTCACAGGAAGCTATTTGGACTGGCCAATTAGCTAACCACTCTACCCTGAAGTCCTTAGAAAGCTATGGAAAATCAGACTCCCCCCACTTGCCTGCAAAGATAATCATGAATGTTAATAATTAGTTGATTTACATGCTGTCTTTGCTTCAAGAGTCTCAAGCATGCTGGGCTTGTTTATTTTGTTTCTCCTATTTTAAAAATTGTTTCCACCAAGGCTGAGAGAGCTTCTCTGTGGGTTCTTTCAAATTGAGAATAACACCTCATAGGATTAAGAGAATTCAGTCAGGAAATTCATGTGGAATACTTACCATAATTCTTATCACCTAGTAAGTACTCAATAAATAGAAGCTATTATTATTGTATCATTTTAGTCAGCTTGATGACTCATGGGTTGCTTGTGAACTTCTGAATATTTTCAGAGTGAGAAGATGGAACCCTAGCTTGAGTAATTGAGTACTCTGTTCAGGCTCCTGACAACCATCTCATTCCACATATTAGTATCCTTACGTCCCTATTACAAGTCAGTTTTAGACCAAAGATAGTGGACTGGGGAGGTGAAGAGGCACCTAAAAGACAAATGCTTATCTTCATACAGGTCACTGCTCAAAATCATATCGAAGACTAGTCAATGTGATAGTTTTGATGGATAACTTGACATGTGTAGAATCAACAGAAAAGAGTCTCAGTGAAGGATTATTTAGATTAGATTAGCCTGTGGTTGAGTCTTTGGGAGATTATATTGATTATGTTAATTGAGGTGGGAAGATATATCCATTGTGGGTGGCACTATTCCCTTGGCAGGGGATTCTGAACTCTCTAAGAGTAGAGAAAGGGAGCTGAGTACCAGTGGGCATACATGAAGTCATTGCTCTCTGCTGGATGTATTGGGACTAGCTGCTTCAAGTTTTAGCCCCCTTGACTTCTCTGCAATGACTGACTGTAACCTGGAACTGTAAGCCAAATCAACCCTTTCTCTCTTAAGATGCTTTTGTTACACTATTTTGTCATAGCAACAGGAAATAAAAGTAAGACAATCAGAGTGACTGTCTAAACAGAGTGCCTCAAGAGTGATTTCCAAAGGGTGATATGCCATCTAACAAGGCAAATTAAAGGACATACTTCCCTGCCACACTAACTGAACCGGGGTTCTTGTGAGGAAGGTCCAGGCATTTGCAATTAAAATCTATTCTGCTCCATGGTAAGGGTCACATGCCACTAAGTGGTCCTCCAAAGTCATCTCCAAACTTGCAATAACCCCCCAAGAAAGACTGGAGACTGCAAAATATTTACCTTGTAAGAGCATCTAATAAGCTCGACATCCCTGTGATGCTCTGATATTGAGCACAGCAATGGAAGTTTGGGGTCACTACCAAGCTTGCAGAGTGTGGCTTGGACACTTACAGACAGTCCCTCTAGGATCTTGGGCAGATAGCAGGCAGTTGCTAACTCCGGGGGTAATCTGGGAGGAGAGAGGCCAAGGGTGTTCACAGCACTGGTGTAGCAGAGTTTCTCACTCTTTTCATGGCCTCTTTGAATGAAACACTTTCACTCCCTCCTCCTCCCCTTCGTCACTTAGTCTCACTTTCAAATAATGTTATGCCAGCGACTGTAAACCCCGAGGCAGCCCATGGAAGCCATGCCACCGCTGCACATGTTGTGTGTACACATACTTACATATTCCGCACCACTGCCTTTGTTCTTAAGCCAATAAAAGTGATTTTCAGATCATCTGCGGCTTTGGATCCTCTGCACCACTGCTCCCCCCATTAGCATGGCTAATTGAGAACTGACTGTGTGTCTTGGACCATTTCCAAGCAGGGAACCCATTGCCTAGAATGATGTGGGCTCCCCAAGAGAACTGAGCAAATAGAGAGAAATATCAAGTCGGGTGTCCGTTGGAAGAAGAGTACACTTTTAAGGATGATCTGACCAGTCCCAGTCCAGAGAAGCAATCTGGTTTGGCATGTCACATTGATTTCCAAGTCAGTAAACTGTAAAACTGTCCCCCAGCTAGAACATGCAACAACTCAGAGAAAGATGAGGTTTGGCCAGTAAAGGATGAAGCCATCATAAGACCAATAAAAAGATGCAATGTGGTTCTCCTTAGGCTGTATATCAACACCTTCCTGGAGGCTACAAGGGACAGTGCACATAGGCGTATGTTCTGTTTCACTTTGTAGAGTGAGGATGAGATAGAGGTTGGTGGGGAAATTCCCCTCAGTCTCACTATGCAGCTCTGTCTGGCCTGGAGCTTACTATGTAGATCAGGCTGACCAAAACGTCTACAGAAACCTACTCTGTGCAGAAACCCCCATTTAGACATTTTTTTTTTTTTGTCTTAGGACATCATGGTGAAAATACTCAAGTAGATCTCAGACATGCTGAGAAAAAACAAAACCAAAAAACCAAAACCAAGACTCCCAAACAGCAAAATTACCCACAGAAAACAAAACCAAGGAATGGAAACAAAAACAAAAGCAAAAGGAAGCACGAAATTGTAAGCACGTTTTGGATGGTGTCATTTTTCTTATGACATAAGCTCCCAGCTGGCCCCGGCACTGTCTCTTGGAATAAATAGCAAGCTGCGGAGGGTCATGCCTCATGTGGGTTTCTGATAAGTATTGTTTGGTTGTATGCTGTTTATCACAAAGACAATGGATAGTATTGTCAGACAGACTCATGAGCAGCTGCCTTTTGCAAGAAGAATGGGAGAAGTTCCCCAGAACTTGCACAATTCTGCGTTCTGTCCCAAACAATAAGAAGTGAAAAGCCTGGGCTGAGGGCACTGGGAGGCAGAGGCATATTTCTCAGGAGGGCTAGAAAACCCGTGCTCAGGGTTAAACTGTGCAAATGGGGTCTTAGTGTGTGTGCATTCTCTATCAGTCAGAGGTCAGCGGACTCCATTTGTATCTGCCTCCTCATCACTGCTTGAGGACATGAACTGGACCACTGCATGAGGGCTTTGGGTATGGAGCTAGATATGGTAGTTTACGTTGGCTCACATTAGACTCTCCTAGGAGGGCCCTCAAAGCCTAATCTATTCCACTGAAGATTCTGGCTTATGGAACCTGGGTTGTATTATACAGCACCTGGGATATTTTAGGCATAAGGGGAACAAAAGCCACGCCAAAGCCTCTTAGGTGGTGGGGGCGAGACCGGCACCATGAGGCTCCCCTTCAATCTACCAGGATCAAGCCGAGACCGAAGCGGTGTTCTCATCTTTATAGATACCAAGCAGTAGATGGTGGGTTGTGGATGGGAAGGAAAGAGGGAAAGTTGAGAAAAAAGAAGAGAGTTGGGAAGCCTAGGAGTTAAATAAGTTGGATTTCTCCTGAGAGGTTTTTTCATCAGGATCCGAAAGGTGAAGGATATGCTTGCTGGTAGTTTCTGGTGAAAGATGTATGGCTTGTGACAAAGCATTGTTTCTGTTTGCAGTCACCAGGGAGTTGGGTAACTGGTGACTAGCAACTTGGAAGACTCACTGAAAATAAAAAGTGCATACCTGTCTCTAAAAGTCCATTACCATAACAATTGTCCATGACTTTGGGGGAATCTGCATCTTGGCTACAAGAGAAAACAGGAAAATGGAAATTGTGTGTGTGTGTGTAGGGGGTGTTGGTGGTGGTGTTGGAGAACCCCAAAGGCTGTAGTAGTCAGCGGTCTGTTATTGTAACAAAATACTCGAGACAATCAACAGAAGGAAGGAAAAGGTTAGTTTGGCTTACGGTTGTACCTGATGGTGGGAGCGCATGGGGGAAGCCCTCCCCTTCATAGTGGCTGGGAAGCAGAGAGAGGTAAGGAGCATGGAGTTCCCACATCTCCTTCAAGGATGGGTCCCCCTAGGTCCTGGTTCCTGAAGGCTTCACCACCTCTCCGTAGCACTAGACCGGCAACTAAACCATCACCACGTAGTCCTCCGTGGGACACAGCCACACTATGACAAAGGCTGATGGACATTGTGCACTGGTGATGCTGGGGGTGCCGAAGCAGTGTGTGACCTAACAAAGAAGGGAACTGCAGAGCAGATCAGTAAGAAGAGACTGACCGGGTCACCCAAGCTTCCAGCAGGTTCTCGGTATCAGCTGCTAGGTAGAGGATGTCCCTCGGGTCATGTCTTCATTCTCTGCTCCACCCCACCTTTTCTCCTCACATATTTCTAGTCAGACCCACTCCCATGGAAGAGCACATGTCTGCCGTACTGTCCTGGCTGGGCAGGAAACACGTAAAAAACTCAACTATCCTCACTCACAGGATCCACAAGGATGGGATGTGGGGGCCATTCGTCGTGAATGAGGGATGTGGGGAAACTGTCCCTGACATGCTGGGCTTTATGAAGACAGTCACTGGCTGCTGCTTTCCTCCATCCCCTGACGTTCCCCAGGGTGGTTTCGACTACACTGGATAGATGGATCTGCCTATCATGATTAAAACGCCTCCTGGGAGCATATGCTTCCGTGTTTCTGTGGAAGATGCACAAACAGCTGATGGCAGCTTCCCTGAGAAGTGGCACATGACATGCTAAAGCACAGACTCTCAGCCCCTGGATTTTTAGCCTCAGGACCGGCCATTCCCCAGAGCCAGCTTCCCATTCCATCTGAGGAGCAGGAGAGTGGGAGGTTTGCATGCTGCTCTTGGAGCTGCCTGGATTTCTGAGTGGGAAGGCCAGGGGTGAAGAACCAGCTTTTCCCAGAGTGCCACGGTGCTTTCCCCAGTCATAAGCCTAGAGAAGCAGTCTAATCCTGTGGTGTCTAGGGCCTGGCCAGAGGAGGAATGCATATGGCTTGGGGATTGGAGGGAGTTTGCCTGAGTGTGTTTGTGTCTATGCTTCTGAGCCCAGGACCCTGACATCAGGGAAATTAACCAGACTCTGTGTGTTGTGGGGATTGTGCATGGCAACCTAATCAAGGCTTAGTTTTTCATTAAAATTTCCATTAATACTGGGGTTGTTTAGATCAAGTTGAATGAGACTATCCATAATGCACCTTCCATACTCTATTACCATTCTGAGGATCAGAGGGAGGTTGTACATCTCTGCTGGGGCCATTAGCATTCCCCCTGCCCCCTCTCCCTCCCCCGCCATCCTGGTATGGTCTTTCCCAGCAGCTGCTACATAGAATGAACACAGTACAAAGAGGATCACCCAGAAGTCCTCCCACCCTCTTCTATGTGACAGGCAGGGAAGCATGGAAGAGGAGGCAGGCAGAGGTAGGAAGTGAAGCATGAGGAGTTTCATGGGCCAAGGCTTCATCTTCTCAGCATAGAAGTACCCACTCCCGCCTGCGTCTTTCAAAAGAGACTGTTACAGCATTATGGCAGTCTGAGGGGGAGGAAAGACACCAGGTCGTTCATGGGGAAGGAAGGTGCTGATGTGGACAGAGGAATTCAGGCCACACCTCATGGGGACATTTCTATAGCAGAGTCACACAAAGGACTGCCATCTGAATGGTCTTTACTTACATCTCAAGCCATTTTGGGGGGTATTTGGGGGATGGGTGTACTAGTTTCAGGGCTCTTGAAGGCTTGCTCAGTGATGGCTCAGTGAGCTGTTTCTCTTACCATCCTTGACTGTAGCTGCATGACCCTATTGCCTAGGCTATAGACATCTATGCCCTTTGACAGGTCTGTGTGTTGGCTGTATCTTCCTAAATAAAGTTCATGTACAGGAAATTCAGTCTCCAAGATCATGTGTTAACGGTATGTGTGATGATAAGTGTTAAGTATCAACTTGACAAAATCTAGAGTTACCTGGGAAATGACTTCTGGGTGTGCTTGTGGGGGATTATCTTGATTCCATTAAGTGGAGTGGGAAGACACACCTGTTGTAGGCGACATCATTTCCTGGACCCCTGGGTATCCTGAACTACGTAAAGAAGAGAAAATGAACTGAACAGGAAGTCTGCATGTATCCCTCTGCTTCCTGCTTGTGGCCACGATGTGACCAACTGCTACAAGCTCTTGCTGCCTTGAATCCTCTGCCATAATGGGCTGTACTTTGAACTCTGACCTAAAATAGACCCCCCTTTTCCACCGCATAAGTCACCTTATCACAGTAACAGAAAAGCAACTAAGCAGTAGGTAGTGAAAACTAGATGACTCATGAGGGTAGGGCCCCCATGATGGTGTGAGTAGCTTCAGAGAAAGATAAGAGACCACAGCCGGCATGCTTGATCTGTCTTACCCTGTGATGGAAGGACACATGTAAGACGTCTGCCATGTCAGGACACAGTAAGAAGGCCTCTCTGGACCCTGTTGCCCTGCTCTTGGACAAACACCATGCTCTTGAACCTACCGACTTCCAATGCTGTGAGCCAAATAAGTTTCTTTATTTCTTTTTTTGAATTTTAAAGAAACTACTCAGTCTGATACTTTGTTCTGGCAACAGAAAATAGACTAAGATAAACAGGAATACTTCTCCTACTTTGTCTATAGGTAATCCAAGCTTACCATTCAATGGCTAGCTTGAAAATCATTAACCTGCCTCTCCCAGACTGAAATACTTATGATCTTACTGCAGGCTTTTATCCTTCAACATCTCAATATTATATTCTTTATAATATTAGGCTAATTTTTTTATGCTATGGACTTGGATCTTCTATGTTAAGTGAAGGACAAACCATAGAATATTTCCTTATAAAAGCTTTTTGAACTTGTTATAAACTTCCGACCATCTGTTTGAGGTGAGCTTTGTGTTGTTCTTACTGACAAAGCGATGTGTGTGCAGAAAAGCATGTCTGATGCAAATGAAGATCCAACCCCAGCTAGTGCAGTCTGCAGTGGTATTTGTGGGGCGATGCACTAGACACATTCTGTTTGAGCCACACCTGTGTCTTGCTGCCTGCGCCTGCTAGTTTTGAGGAGGAGTTGCTTCTATTAGATTGTCCTGTGAGCCTTTTCATGATAGTAGGAAGGTCCAGCCCACTGCGGGTGTTACCAACCCAAGCAGGTAGTTCAATAAGAGAAAAACAGCAAGCCAGTAAGCAGCATCCTTTCATGGTCTCTGCTTCAAGCTCCTGCCTTGAGTTTCTGCTCTGGCTGCCCTCAATGATATACTGTAACCTGTAAGATGTAATAAACCCTTTCTAGATCTGGCATGCTTGCTCTGTCTCACCTTGTGATGTGCTCTGCCATGTCAGGACACAGTAAGAAAGCCTTACCTGGACCCTAGTTAGTCTTGGTAAGAGCCCATGCTCTTGAACTTACCCACTTCCAAAGTTGCTTTTGGTCAATGCTTTATCACAGCAACCAAGAAACAAGCTAGAACACCATCTAAGAACCCCGGAGTGGGCCTTCACCAGATCAAGTCAGCTCTCACTTGGATCTCAGACTTCCAGCTTTCAGAACTGTGAGAACAAGTTTCTGTTGTTTCCAGGTTACCCAGTGTCCTGGTTTGTCTCTCACTGCTGTGATCAAATACCCTGACAAAATCAATTTAGGGACAAAAAGATCTGTTTTACCGCACAGAATTTGGGTTATAGCCCATCCCCACGGGGGAAATCAAGGCAGCAGACACTTGAAGTAGCTAGTCACATCCAAAGTGAGGACCAGCAGGAGAGGGAAAACGGCATATACACATGCTTGCCCGTACTTAGCCTCCTCTCCTTTTTGTTCCCTTCACAACCCAGTCAGAGAACTCTGCTGCCCACGTTCAGGGTCAGTCTTCCCATCTCATTTAATGCAATTAAGAACACTCCTTCTAAGCCCCGCCACAGGCCAAATCCACATGGACAGTTCCCCATCAAGGCTCTCTTCTCACGTGATTCTGGATTGTGTCAAGTTGAGGATTACAGCTAACCTTTTCACCCAGGGTGAGATTTTTGCTGTTGCTTTTTAGACTCAGCGATATTGATTTTGCATATAAAGGGAGGGTGGCCTCATGGAAAACCTGATTTTTTTGGTTGTAAAAAATCGGCTGTCACTCTCGATCTTTACTGTCCCTCTTTCTTAAATTTGGCTCTCCTGCACTTACTCATTATTTGCTTTTTGGCAAGTTAATTACGTCCATAAATCTTGGCTTTTCCCTCTGCATTACTTTTTTATTATTAACATTGCCTTTGATTGACAAATGAAAATTGTATGTATTTATGAAGTAAAATATGGAAGGGCTAAGTTAAGCTGATTCACATACCCACTGATCTAAAGGATTTTGTTACAGAAACCTAAATCACCCCAAATACATTCTCTAGCCCCATTGACAAAGACCTTGGACCCAGAAACGAGAGTTGGGTTGGCCACCTGCCTCTAGTGTTTAGTCACGTGACCTTGGGAAGGTTTCCTAATCTCTATGCATGTTATTTCCCCATTTATAAAATGGGATTATAATAACCTATCACTTAGGGAGGCTATGAGGATCACAGGAGGCACTCATACTGAGGGTTTAGGGTAGCTGATATCCGTACAATGGAAGTGTAAATTGTTGGAGTCAGAAACCCTGCAGGTATGATCTGGGCACCTTTATTTTGAAAGTGATGCTTGGAAGATTCTGATTTGTGCCCTCAATTCAGAACCACTTCTTCACCGGGGCTCATATATTATAGAAACCAAGGAAACACAGATCAATAATAGATAAGTGTAGTAAGGTCTTGGTTAACCAGCGAGAGCATAGATCTTCAGCATTCAATTCTCATTAGGCTGATTTTTTTCAAGTAATCTCACCAATCTCCTTGCTGATGTAAGAGATAGCTTTGGGTTTCACTTCCTGACCAGGCACCTCCTCTTCCTGTAGAGATTGGATGAGCAGGGAGCACCTGCGAAGCAGGGAGCACCTTTGAAGCAGGGAGAGGGAAGACAGAAGTGGACTCATTACCAACTGTGGAGCCAGTTAGAGGGTCCATCACCCTGGAGCTCTCTGGGGTTGTAGAAATACCTTAGGATTCACAAAGATGGGACAAAAAAAATAAATGACTTTCAAATAATAATCTATTCCTTTCACTTAAATCAATGAAGAAATCAGCTCACTTCTGGGCACAGGAAAATGTGTTAGTAATTTATGTTGCCTGATTTTCAACTCTTCACCAACTCAGATCACTTTCTTGTGCCCTGATATTAATTCTGAGGGTTGAGCACAGCTCTGTTTTCTCTCTGCTGAAGGGCTTGCTTTTACTAGTTTCATTTGTATTGGCAGTGAAGTCTTTCATCAGAGGAACAAAAGACCAAGTTTTTGTCACGGATACATAGATG